TATAATTAAATGGTGAATCGAAAATGAACTTAGGTTATAGGTACGTCCTTTCACTCCGAAAATTTGGGTTTGACTGACGATCAGTCAGCATGAGCGTGTAATGTCCAAATTATTCCATCATTCAAACCTCAGTCATGATTAATCGAACTGATTGACGCTTGCCTAGGCGTGTAATGGGCGTCTTAGACCCTGCCAATTTTAGACGCCCATTACACAGTAGGTTTTGCTGTCAGTTTTACAACAATCACGGTTGTGATTGACGAATAACCTATCGTGTAATGCGGTGATTGACGGTTGCATGAAATTGATTGACAAATATCTGGATATTTTGATTTTTACGTCAATCAACTATCAGTCACGAATTTTGATTGAACGTGTAATGGCATTTCGTTAATCACGCGTCAGTCAACGCTTAGACAGCAATGGAGGCGGACGCAGAATATATTGAAGAGGCTGCTTCTACGCGCTCGCGCAGCCCGTCGCCACTCCCACCAAATGTGTTTCAGCCAGAAAAAGATTTTATTTTAAAGTTTCAGTCTCTCCCCGAGTTGTGGGACACGAAAAACCCCGGGTTGGTTGGATGCCCCTAATACCAGCCACGCCCCTAATTCCAGCCTTTCCGCCTTTTTACTTCGTAAATAAGATTTCTAGTAGTCTTAACTACAAATATGGTCGGCTAAAAATTCTTCGTAATTAGAAGAAAGTATATTTCAAATATTACCTCACAGTTTTAAACCTAACAGTGTTAAATTAAAAATCAAAACATAAGCATATTTTACATTAGCTCATCTTTAGGCTTTTTGATTTGTGTGAATGTGACTATAGACACATTAATGCAGCTATTTTTGTTTAAATTTATAAGTTTTTTATTTTCTTTTAGTGGAAATTAATGGGGCTGTAATTAGATATACGAAATTTATGGAGTGCATAATGTCAGTCGCCCGACTGTTATTTGGTTTGACCTAAATAATAAGAAGTACCTTATTTCAACCACGTAATATATATCAGGGCTGTCATTAACTAGAATAAATACCATTAATTTGAACTCACACAGAAAACCAACGTAGAATAGCAGCTTAACGCTGCTGTGTTTCGTATGGTGAGTGTAGAGAACCGGAGACCCTTTTTACTGGCAAAGAGGTATTCCATCTTAGTCCTCACGGGTGACAACGCATCTGCATCTTGAGTCTATATTGAGGATAGATGTAGATGTCTATGGGTCATAGTAGCCACTTACCATCAGGTGGACTGTGTGCTCGTTTGTCACCCTATCCTATATAAAAAAACATAACTTATTTTATAGTTAAGTAAGTTATGGTCAATTCGTCTATATTTTAAAATTGGTGTTTGATTTAAAAAGTTTAACAAATGATACGTACTTGCTTTTCAGACATTTGGTATATGTTAAGAACACCATACAATATTTAATTATTTTTTGGGAAAGACAAAAACAAACAATAAATGTAATTAACTACAATTTAGTAATACTAATTTTATTATAACTTAAGAACATAAATGAAAAAGTCTTAAAAAGGAAAGTGGTTCAGGACCATGCTTTGCGGCAGTCTATGGAGGATGATGTTCTGTAGTCGACTTGTGAAGGGCTGAAATGATGATAAAGATTCAAAAACTTTGATGATTAAATTATAAGAAATCGGTGTACTATAATACATATTTTTTATTATAATATTATGTTAATTAATTGTTTAGTGTTAAAAGATAAAATGTAACTGCTTAAAGCTAAACCACAGTAAGGTAAGAAGTAAAACATTAAAATAAAATAATTGTTGTCGTCTATCTTAATACATATTCCATACTTGTGACATGCATGATTTAAAATTAAAAGTTGTTGTGAATTTATTTCAGTGCCCCTAAAATTTACCTACAATAGGTACCTACCAAAAACTCAAAAGGCATAGCCCTATGCTATGCTGGCATTAGATACACAAAAGGAAATTGAAATTGGCACTAAAAGGCTGGTAATAGGGGCATCCACCCTATACGAATAAATGTAAAAGTTAAGCTTATTTTTCGTCCATAAATGCGTTTCAAATAAAGCCGCGTATCGATTATGCACTCCAAGAGGTCTAACATTTGCGCGCGTTAAATTAAAATGGGTAAAATGATATTAAATATTACAATTTTTCCTATTCGTTTTTTTCTTTTTCTTTTCAAGATATAAAATTATAATTAAATGGTGAATCGAAAATGAACTTAGTTTATAGGTACGTCCTTTCACTCCGAAAATTTGGGTTTGACTGACGATCAGTCAGCATGAGCGTGTAATGTCCAAATTATTCCATCATTCAAACCTCAGTCATGATTGATCGAACTGATTGACGCTTGCCTAGGCGTGTAATGGGCGTCTTAGACCAATTTCTGTACTACCAACATTTAGTAACATTTTTGAAAAAAATATTTTAGATCAGATGTTAAGTTTCTTTAATATTAATAAACTGCTACATAAAAATCCATTCGGTTTTACAAGGAGTCGTTCGACAACTGACGCTGGAGTTGAGCTTATTAAACATATTTTTTGCAGAGACATTTTTTCCGTTTGCGAGAGGATACGCGTAAGCGGTTTAATCTTATTGTGCGTGTGCGTGTGTGTGTGTGTGTGTGTGTGTGTGTGTGTGTGTGTGTGTGTGTGTGTGTGTGTGTGTGTGTGTGTGTGTGTGGATGTGTGCGCGCGCGCGCGCGCGTGTGTGTGTGTGTGTGTGTGTGTGTGTGTGTGTGTGTGTGTGTGTGTGTGTGTGTGTGTGTGTGTGTGTGTGTGTGTGTGTGTGTTAACTCGTACGTGGTATGTTAAGATGCGATTTGCAGTAATAGTTTTGTTTTTAGGGTTCCGTACCACAAAAGGAAAAAAACGGAACCCTTATAGGATCACTTTGTTGTCCGTCTGTCTGTCAAGACCATTTTTCTCAGGAACGCTTGGAGGTATCAAGCTGAAATTCATATCAAATACTCAAGTCTACTGCCCCTTAGAGCTGTGAAAAAATCAAGCTTCTAAGCCAATGCAATCAAAAGGTACAGGCGTTTATGCCGTAAATATTTCGACATTTGCAAGGGAATCAAAACCTACACAGGGTACTTCCTGTGAACTCAGAATCTTAAAATTTGGTATGAGGCAACTTATTATAGCACAGATAAAGGAAAAATTGTGAAAAGCATAAATTTTTAGTTACATCATATAATAAAAATATTTTTAATAAGTTTAAACTTATATACCTACGGATTTGTTCGGAACCCTCGGTGCGCGAGTCCGACTCGCACTTGGCCGGTTTTTTTCATAATCAAGTTTAAGCAGCCCATTTGAAATTTTCTTTTTACATTCAAATTTTGTTAAGTTAATGATACGGTGTAATTTGTTTGCTTTGTTATATAATCGACTACCTCTAAAACTGGAAAACTTTTGAACAAAAAATGTTTTTACCGGAATAATTTCACAAACTTCATAATCTCTCCTCGTACCAGAGTTCCTTATATTATTCAACAAATCAATACAACTATGTTTTTTTAAGATTATTGATAATATGTACATTTTTCGAACCGTTAACACATTGGCTTCTGCGTACAAGTTCGTAGTCGGATACATCCTAGGTTTTTTCAAGGCAATTTTTAATATCATCCTTTGTACCTTTTCTACTTCCATCATTAATGTTTTACTAGAGCCTCCCCATACAGAAATGCCATAGGTCAGGATAGATTTACCTAACGATTCATATACAGTTATAATTAAATTCCACTTTGCGATATGTCTTAAGTTTTTAAATATGTAGATAAGCTTTCTAATTTTTTTGAACTAAATAGTTTATATGTTCTTTGAAAGTTAGATTCTTGTCTATTATAATGTCGAGGTACTTTTTGTTATTTGTATTTTCAATATAAGGACATTTACAGTTTGAAATAGAGCTCATATCACATGAATGTGCTATGATTTTAAATTTATTTGTAATACAGAATGAATTTCGGATGGAAAACATTACATATTTGGATTTATCGGAATTTAAAGTGAGATTATTTAGAGGAAACCAGTGGCAGACTATATTGAAACCATCCTGTGCAATTTTCAAAACTTCTTCCCCCAGAGTCACCGTAAAATGAGTCGGTTGTGTCGTTAGCATATGAGATTATTTTACAATTTGGGATGTTTAATATCGTATCGTAAAGATAGTTTATGTAGCAAATGAAGAGAATTGGACCGAGAATACTCCCTTGTGGTACTCCGTAGTTGATTGGTCTTTCATCACTAAAAATCTCTCCTACCCTAACTCGTTGTGAGCGATTTTGTAGGTAATCTTTATAAAGTTGTAATTGTACATTTCTAATACCCATTTTTTCAAGTTTCTCGAACAGTTTAGAAGATGAATTAGTGTCAAAAGCTTTTTTCAGATCAATAAAGATTGTGATACATTTTTTATTGGGGTCTAATTTTTGCACAATAAATTCTGTAAAAATATATATAGCCTCCGTAGTTGATTTACTCTTTCGAAAACCGAATTGACCATTTGAGAGAATTTCATTATCTTCTAAATATTTTATAAGTCTAGTGTTTATTATTCTTTCATAGAGCTTAAATGTAGACGGCATTTGATGTAGATTGTATTATTTTCATATTCGAAAAGTTTTTTTAAATACCACTCTCTATAAGTCTGATTGGAAAATAAGTCTTTCAGTTACTATCGTCCTATTTGGGCCCATTTTTAGTCGTTATCAAGGCGATCAAACTGCAAACCCAATATGCTCACTATCAGGAAAGCACCTTCTAATTTCATGTATTGTGACGGGTAACTACGGAACCCTACCTCTACATTGTGCGTGGCGTGGCATTGTTGATGCGCTTGGCCCATTTTTTTTATTTTTACCACTGGTTTAGAAAATATCTCCGTCTCGGGAAGAACCAGCAAGAAACTAAGCGGCACTTTTTTTAGGCTTACCTATAGGTAATTATATTACCTAACTAAGGGTTTGTGGGTAAAGTGCAACTAATTTATTTTATACTGGTTAGCCCGGTAGACGTTGTCCTGCTATCTCCAATAGTTGTCGCTGTGAGTTTCATTTCGAAATCACTGCAGACTTTTACAGTGTAAATAAAACAAGTGCTAAAAATAAACATTTTGTACAACAAACTTCAATATCAATAAAATGAGAACATCATCATTGTAGTCGAAGTCAAATAAACACACATTGTTAAAGATAACTCAAAAACTATTGGTCAGACCTAGATCAAATTCATATGGGACCACATGAGAAGCACCAGCTTTCAAATAAAAAAATAATCATCAAAATCGGTTCACCCAGAAAAAGTTATGAGGTAATACACAAAAAAAAATACAGTCGAATTGCGTACCGTTTGGGTCTTTTTTGAAGTCGGTGGAAAAAGGCATTGTATCACATGATGAGCGAAGCTGGTGTAATATCCACGGCTGCGGGGTGGCACTAGGGCCAAGCCCAGAAGCACCTTAACTTACTGTTAATGATGTTATTTTAATAAGTACTTCGGCTATAAGGACCTACTTTTCTACCGACTTCAAAAAGGAGACGGTACTCAATTCGGATGTATGTTTTTTTTATGTGTGTTACCTCATAACTTTTACTGGGTGAACTGATTATTGATTGATAATGATGATGATTACCGATTTCGATGATTCTTTTTGTATTTGAAAGCTGGTACTTCACATGTGGTCCCATATAAATTATAGATCAAGGGCTGACCAATAGTTTTTGAGTTATTCTTAATAATTAATATTGAAGTCGGTTGTACAAAATTTTAAATTTTAAATTATTTATCACATAAGAACAATATACAGTTCGCTTAACAGTGATAAATAGTAAATACATATCAATCAAAATATTAAAAAAGATCTGCGGTCCAAAACAAGTATAAATTAGGATAAGTAATTTAACAGGCGTCTCTTGAATAATGCAATAGTGCTACATTCTTTCACACAATTAGGCAGCTTGTTGTAAAGTTGCACTCCCTCAAACTTAATGCTTTTCTTTCCTATGTCAGTTCTATAGCTTGTGTCTACTTCGAGTACAATATCGGTGTGATCTTTTAAAAAAAGTAATTATTTAATGGTTGATTTTAATAGTATTTTTTAACTAGTACGCAAGTACTGTACTATATATATAAAGTTTATTTATATTGAGTAGTTTGGTATTTTTATAGATTTTATTCCGTTGGTGTAAATAATGGTAGTTAAATAGTACTTTAATACTACTAAAATATTTCAAAGGTGCTTTCGTATTTTGACAAAGTTCTCAGCAGTGTTGTTATTTTAATAAGTACTTCGGCTATAAGGACCCACTTTTAGTCAAACGCAATTAGCGACACTTAATTTTGTACCGATTAGTCTAGAGGAGTGGTAGCTCAACGAGTAAATTTCACAGTATGCGAGCAATCCGGGTTCGATCCCCGCCCGCACCAATAAAATTGTTATTTTAAGTGCTAGTTTATCACGTGATCGGCGGTGAAGGAAAACATCGTGAGGAAACCTGTATTGGGGCAACATTTTCTTGCCCTAAAAACCGTCTCAGACTTAGATGGAATGCCTAGTTTCCAGTAAAACGGGTCTCCGGTTTTCTACACTCGCCATACGCGAAGCACAGCAGCATTAAGCTGCCATTTTACGCTGGTATTCTGTGCGAGCGTGGTTATTCCTTGGTCGTGCCGACCCATTAAATATAGCAAGTACATCAATCAGTGTTTTCTTTTTCCAGTTAATTTACTACAGTTGCGTGCTGTTGGTAGCGGCAATAAGAGCTCAGCAAAGCGCCTACTACGCCCCGCAGACGTTCAATCAGGTCAGAGCACAAATTATTTGGTTCACTTTTCTTTTTCTTTTTTCTCTTTTTTTAATTTATTTATGTACACACAACAATATACAGAAACAGTCTTATAGTGAATTTGTACAAAGGTTCTACTTATTCCATAATTTGCTGAAATATCTTCCAGTAGACCTACAACGGAGAATATATTAAAAAGGCAAACTTAGTGCGTACAATGCTAATGCTACTGTAAATTATATACAAAATGTTAGGTAAATTATATTAAATTATACTATAAATAAAAATAAAATAATACTAATATAATAAAATAATATTCATATATTAATTAACAGGATGCAAAGAAATTATGTCTAACAGGTTTTTGAAATACAAATAATGTTTCAGAATTTCAATATTCATTATTCATTTGTCTAGTTATGCGTAGTACCACGTTATTCTAAGGTTAATCATGGTATGCCACGATACAGAACTGAATTGATTGCGATATGGGTAAAAGAGTTGCTAATATGGTGTGACAATTTCATAAATTGCCTTAATAAAAAGTATGGATGATCGCAAATGTTTACAAACAAATTCGTACAGTTTCACAATAGCACTCCTAGATCCGCTCAAAATCGAATTTCGTGTATGTCCTAATCTAACGACCTGCGATATTATTTGAAACTAACGACCCGCCCCGGCTCCGCCTGCGTTGGATTTTTTAATGTGGCGTCATTTAGGTTAAGGTAAACTACACATATTATTTATTTCATAAAACAAAGAAATTATCCAAGTTTTATAAATAAAATATAGTCTAGATTACCCCTAACTTTGCTCTCTACTCGTACTTGTTTGTGAAATGCAACTACAATCGAGTCTGCCATTATAGCAGATTAGCCCGGACAGACAAACAGTCAAATAGACAGACAAAAACTTTAAAAATGCTCATCTATATAAAAGGCAATTAATTTGATATTACAGACGGACACTTCAATTTTGTTTATACGTGTAGATGTATGGAAGAGCGTGAGCGTTACACCTTACGTTATACCTTACGACGGCGTTTTCAGTTGCGCAACTCTCTTCAAAAGATCTCTGTGTGATAAACCTTTACATTTTTGGCAACTATCACAGTATTTTCCTCATGTCCCGGGTTGACCGTTCGGGGTAACGGGTTATTTCAAAACCAAACGACTTCTTGCATGCATTTTTTATAGGATAAGGTTAAACGAGCACACAGTCCATCTGATGATAAGTGGTCGCTGTGGCCCATGGACATCTACATCTATACTCGATTACGAATCAAAATGCAGATATGTTATCACCTGAGGACAAAGTTGGAATGCCTCGTTTCCAGTAAAAAGGGTCTACGGTTCCCTACACTCACCAAATCACAATACTCTGTGAGCGCGTGTTCCTTCCCCGGTTGCGCCGACCCATTACTGCTTACTGTAGACTGTATATGAAATTAAAGTGTAAAATTTTTATTTTACACTTTAATTAGTACATCCTTTTACACAAAATGACTGAATGATACACAAACCTAGCGTTAACACTTAAATGACACTTAAAAAAAGAAATTGTTAAAACAATATTGTGTAAAACGTTGCAAGATGGCGGTCATTCGAGTATATCGAACTTAATTATTCACTGGCAATTACTAAAGTATCAATTAAACGTAATTAAGGTGTGAGTAAATTCGTGCTGCTTTCGTCAGACATCTTCCGTAATATGATTGAATAATTTTGTTTGGTAAATTGTGTGTAATTTTTATTTAAAAAAATGGTGGTGGAATAATCCGTTAATAAATCAGCATTTGTATCATGTATAGCGAATGTCCCGTCCCAGCTCCCAGCTAAAACTAAAACTCAATTAAAAAAAAAACATGTGTCAATGTCCACGCGGTAGAAGTGAAACATTCAAATGAAAGGCAATACTTTTGTAACAAAAACATATCAAAGTAAATGATTTATTTAATTTGATTATATCAACGACAAGTGCGGCACTTGATACTTAGCATTTGATAATTTTATTCAATAAAATATGATTTTATTTATTTGATAATAATAACAAACTTGTAATTTTTTTAATTCTTTATTTTATCGTTCTTGTGTTCGTTTCATTTGTTTCAAATCACAACGATGCTAATTAAGTTTTTACTTCAAAAAAATTGGGTAAAGTTTTTAGTTAATCATTGATAAGTGTACTATGCAGAAAACCTATTGATCAACCTTGTGAAACTAACCGAATTATACCCCGACAGTTTTTTTATAAATTACTTACCAGGTCATTTTAACGTGACAATAGAATGTCCCAAAATATTGAGTTATAAGTCTTAGTAGAATTGGGGAACACTCTTTTTTACGTGGTAGTGTCCTAATTAACAAAGCATAATATTATATTACATTAAATGATTTCTTTAGTGATGATTTTTATGATACCCAATAATTTTAATTTAAAAAAAATATCACAGGTTCAACTATTATATAAATAATTTATCTTTAACTATAGATATGTTAACATAAATATTATTTTATTACATTTTATTTGATAATATTTTCTAAATAATGTTTTTTTTTTATTACTGTTAAAACACTTAAATATGTCAGTATTTATTTATAAATATTTATATTTATGACATATTAGATTTCCGACATGCTTAACTTTTTTTCTCAAATTCTGTATCGACTTCAAAAAGGAGGCGGTACTAAATTCGACTGTATGTTTTTTTGTGTGTTACCTCATAACCTTTTACTGGGTGAACCGATTTCGATGATTCTTTTTTTATCTGAAAGCTAGTGCTTCACATGTGGTACCATATAATTTGAACAAGGTCTGACCAATAGTTTTTGAGTTATTCTTAATAATTTATATTGAATTCGGTTGCACAAAATTTTAAATTTTTAATTATTTAGGTACTTACTTTATTTTATTTGCAAAAATATTGTAATTCTCATAGACTTATTCTAGTCTATGGTACTTCTCATGCCCACAGGGTAGGATAAAGTTGAACTTGATTATAAAATATCTAACATCTATGTAATATCTATGATCCATGAAATATATTATTCTCATTATTTTACCAGGAGGATTCCTACAACAAAGTGCTGTTCACACGAGCGGGACCGTCTGACGTCACACCTCACGGCTCCGTGGCACAATCGTGGAGACCGGGCCCTTCGGTTAACCAAGACTGGAAAGGTACTGCACAGATGTAAGATAGGCCACGTGAATAAGTCAATCTTCTTTGTTTGATAATTAGCTCATACAGTTGTACTTTTGCCAGTGTCGAAATATTATTAAGAAATTATCCTTTAAAATAATGTGTCCAAAAACTGCTTCACAATAAGTTATGTAGAGGAAAGGGACCGAATATGGAATACTTAAACAAATTTAAAAAAAATCAGTACAAAAGTTTTATTTTAATCAGTCTCATTGGTTATAATTAAATGTAGTCACTATCACTCTCTAAAAATAATATTTAAATCAATAAAAAATCATAAACACTTTCCGTAATGTTATTAACTAAAATAAATCAACAAAAAATATGCTTCTCAAAAATGTGACCCTATTATGGAATAAGGTATTCCATAATTGGGTCACGTCTCCTTAATGAAAAGAAAATAATAAAATTAACCCTGCAAGCTAAACCCTTGGGTGTCTTCGATTAAACAATGCTAAGCCCAGTCTCGGCGACGTTGTAGATCCTTGGTGGAAATTTAAAAAGCCCAAATTCCTTTTCCAGTAAATCGAAGAAGAAGTTAACATTTTACTTCGTGAAGCCTTTATTCCGAGCAAATGATGTACCAATAGGTTGGACCGGAGAAAGTTCTTTATGCCTCGAAAAAAACCCTTTTAACCATTTACGTCCAGCTGTTCTATTATTAAAAGGATGTTTTAAATTATGTTTTACCGCCAACTGATATGCCATTCTCTTCACATCATTTCGTGTTAGCCCAAGATACCGCTTTTTTTAATTTGCTTGACATACTGTACTTACAAATGTTCAATGTCAGGTCCCAAAACGATTATTATTATTATTACGACCAAGGCGGTAGTCTATATTTGGTTCGTATCATGACAGAACCGGAGGAGTGTAGTCCGAGGTACATTAAAGTGTGCAGCTTTCTTATAACCCATTTTTTTGGTTTCGCTTTTTTACTGGTCGAGTCATTTTGATCACAATTATATCTGTAAAAGAGAGAAATAGTAATCAGACACCATGTTAAAAAACTTGCTTTCGTTGAGGTTCTATTATATAATATTATTCCATATTAGGACCTCAACGGTATTCCATATATTGTTCGTACAATATGATGGCGGGAGGAAAATAAAAGTAACTTTTTAATATGTTTAAAAATTCGTAAAATAACAATACCATTTAATAACTACATACTTTGTTCAGATACTTATCAACTTATTTTGAAATATTCATGTGCGAACAATAAGAGAATATATACGTAAAACTTACCTAAATATCCGGTTGATGTTTTGTTGCGTCAAGTGTCGCGCACTCTTATTTGCGTGTATTGCCGCCGAACGCCGCACGCACGCTGGCCGTTGAATGTGGGTAGCGGGAGGAGTAACATGGCACAAGTTTGGAATATTCATGGTGCTCAGTTTTAGAAATATTACGGTATACCATATTAGGGATGTATTTCATAATTGGTACCTTTCCTCTATATTTGTCCTAGGCCAATTCAGATTTTTCCCCGACCCGGGTTTCGAACCCGGGACCACATAATCAATCAAGTTTACGACTACTTGACCAACGATGTTAAATATATTTATATACGTGCTAGCTGATCTGGCAGACGTTGTTCTGCATTTTCCGAAAGGTGATGCGATAAGTTACACTACGAATTGACTCTGGATTAGTCACAGTGTAAGTATAAAATTTATTAATAGCTCAACCGCAACGCCAGCTATCGGGTCCAGATTTTGTGATTTGCTTTTTGGCGCCAAACCAATAAATATTGTCAAAATATGTTATTTTATAACAAACACAAAGAATTTTAATATAACTTGATAACACCGCCACCTATCAGATTATAGTATAACTATGAACCATAGTCTCGACGAAACTAATGTATTGTATGAACACGATCAAGGAATATGACATCAATCGATCAAGTAGTTTAGTAGTTACACGATCACTAACATACCAAGCAACGATTATATCTTTACAAAAAAATCCGGTGTCCGTGTGTTCGTAATGACGACTCTTCACGACTTTTTCTGCCACCAGGGCGGCGCCACTTAAAATGAGATGTAATATTTGACAGATTTTATAGCGCGTAGGTTTTGGTACAAAAATGTAAAGGTTAATGATTCTTTCTGTACTATTAGATATATTTTATATTAATCGCACTAAAATAAATAAACCAAACCACAAAATATTCATAAAAGTAGAAAAATTTAAAGAAGTTAAATAAATTAAAGAGCAAAGCACTGAGGCATTGTTGTGTATATTGATATAATACTCTAGAAATTGATATCTATTAAAATAAAGGCGAAATGCCATGAAAGAAATATTATTTAGACTAGCTTCTATTATAATGCAGTAGATAAGATAAAGTGCAAAGGAGATGGATATTATTCCATCTCCCTCGCACTATAGAAAGGGGGTCGTGACGGAAAAATCTTACACTTTTTCTCGCCTAGCCTAGCATCCGTCAAATTCATACCGTGCGATAAGGAACTTCGTTCCAAAACTTCACCTCAGTGTCTACTAGCGACATCTGGTGAGAGTAAGATTATTGGCCCTCATTCTCCTTCTACTTCTTCTTCTTGTTCTCCTTAACGGCTTAACCAATTTTGATGACATTTTTATGAGGTGCTTATGGGTTCGCCTGGATGGTTCTTAGTTCTTAGCTATAGTTGGCAGGTGGCGGTGTTTTCGAGATCTAGAAATCACCCATGATAAGCATGAATGGATCGCTACTATGCATCCATTATATCCTATAAAAGTCCACTGCTGAACATAGGCCTCCCCTATAGATTGCCTCATAGGGGGGAGCCAAAATAATAAAAATATTGCGGGTTGGCTACCGCAATTTTTTTATTATTTTTGGTAGTTCTTTTATTTATTTTTTTATAGGATAAAGGTGACAAACGTGCACACAGTCCGCCTGATGGTAAGTGGTTGCTGTGGCCCATAGACATCTACATCTATCTTCGATTACGAATCAAAATGCAAATGCATTGTCACCCATGCGGACTAAGATGGAATGCCTCGTTTCCAGTAAAAAGTGGGTCTCCGGTACACTCACCATACGAAACACAGCAGCGTTAAGCTGTTATTTTACGCTGGTATTCTGTGAGAGCGTGGTCCTTCCCCGGTCGAGCCGACCCATTCGTGCTACAACTATACCAGTAATATAGCTGCAGCATGGCTCTACCACGTAAAAAAGTTATCAAAAAGATGGTGGTGCCCATCTCCTGTTTCAGTTTCCCTCTGTCGCCTCTTACGTCACGCACGAGACGATATGGGGTAGAGGATATTCTTACACCGCCACTACACGGTGCACATTTTGCATATAAAAGATTATTGTTGGCTTTAACAATACAATCTGAATGTTTTTAAAATTTGTTTGGTTTAAGCACCGGAACCATGGAAGCAGCCTAACACCGCGAGTAAGGAACAGCAGGCCTCCATATTGCATCACAAGCAAGCTTTAACTTCAGGTAAGATATATCTATGCCTACTGTAAGAAATAATTCGACTTTTGATGTTAGAAATTATTCTCAAAATTATTTAAATATAATTTAAAAATAAAATTTTTGTACAACAGACTTCAATATAAATTATTAAGAATAACTCAAAAATTATTGCTCAGACCTTGATTAAATTTATATGGGACCACATGTGAAGCACCAGCTTTCATATAAAAAACGAATAATTGAAAAACGTTCACCCAGTAAAAAGTTATGAGGTAACACAAATTAAAAAAAAACATACAGTCGAATTGAGTACCGTCTCCTTTTTGAAGTCGGTAGAAAAGAACACTACTCGGTAGCAAACCCTGCTTACTTATCAGGACTCAATGACATGATAACACCAAAGTATGCAAACCAACAGCATCACTACCTATCTCAATGTAACACAGGACAGCCTCTCAGCAACAAGATCTTCCTTGCCGACACTAATAGAATACCCCAACGGGCATAGTAACGACATTACCACAGTGAGACTCGTAGAATTACATACTGATGCCTGCCAGTCGCCTGTGCGATACGTTATATTTCTAGAACAAGTGGATTACCGATTAGATATTACCGTTATACCATCATTTAATCGTATTTAATTTTATTTTTTTATCCTCATTCTCGACAATACATATGTGATAGTTGCAATTAAAGACTTTTCTTTGTTAATTACTTTAATCAATATAACCAAGACAATAAGTTAAAACAGTTATTAATTATAATATTTTTTCTTCATGTCCATTAAAACATCCTATCGTTACTTTTTCATTTTTTAAACAAACATCGATCAAAGTCAGAATAAAAAGTAATATATATATATATATATTGTATAACCATAGGCAATAGCTGCCAGTATTTTTCTCTGACTAATAACCTACTTGAATCTACAACAACATATAATTAAATTTAAGTTTCTCATTGTATATCGGAATAATCGTCTTTAAAAAAAAAAACGAACACACGGTCACCTGATTGTAAATGTGTACTGTGGCCCATAGACATCTACACCTATCCTCGATTACGAATCAAAATGCAGATGCGTTGTCACCCATGAGGACTAAGATGGAATGCCTCGTTTCCAGTAAAAAGGGTCTCCGTATCTTTACACTCACCATACGAAACATAGCAACGTTAAGCTGCTATTTTACGCTGGTATTCGGTCTTAAAAGTCGGTTAAACTGGCGTTTAGATCCTACAAGAATTCGGTTGTAAATTGTTGTCAACAGAGGGCAGTTTCCGCTTCGAGTACGCTTCAGACAACGGGCTGGCGGCCGGTGAAGTGATAGAACCAGATGGTTCGAGGGTCGGCGCCTACCAGTACAAGGACCCGAGTGGTCAGCTCGTTAAACTGAAGTATCGTGCCGGAAAGGAAGGCTTCCAGGTATTTCCCAATTAAGGTATTTGTCCTGTGACGTGGAGAATCGACCAAGTTGTTATCTACATTCGTTAACGCAAATATGTTACTAGTTAACAACTTAGTAAGTGTGATATCTCTACGTTACGTGACTATTTCTTTTATAGAATAAGTATGAAAAAGCTCAGAGTCCACCTGATGGTAAGTGGATGCTGTGATCCATAGACATATATATTTATCCTCGATTAAGTATCAAAATGCAGATGCGTTGTCACCCGTGAGGTCTAAGAATGCCACGTTTCCATTAAATATGGTCTCCCGTTCTCTACACTCACCATACGAAACATAGCATTAATCTGCTATTTTCCGCTGGTGTTCTGTGAGAGCGTGGTGGTCACACCCATACATTTAGTGTTCTATTGTAGAAAGTGAAGTTAGCCAACCCCGCTATTACATAAGGGAAACGAATCTAAGTAAAAAAGTTAATCTGGATATTTTATAGAATAGAATGGATTTTTTGGAACGAAGTTCCTTATCGTACGGTACAAATTTGACAGATGGAGCTAGGCGAGAAAAAGTGTAAGATTTTCCCGTTACGACCCCCTTTCTATAGTATAAGCGAGATGAAATAATATCCATCTCCCTCGCACTGTTTCTTATCTTACCATGAAAGAAATATTATTTTATTTTAAATGACGCTTCATTTTAATAGACGCTAGTAATTCATTTATTTGTATATGTTAATAATATTAATAATAACGTTTATCAATAATAACGACTACGAAAGGAACTTCGTTCCAATCGAGTGTTCCACGACACTCACGCATGTTTATTATTCAATATAGATTGTAACATACCTAGTACCCATTAAAAGTATTATATATTCATTGGCTAGTTTAGAAAATACGCTTGTCAAATTATTTTATGTGCTCGTATTTGACTTAAATATGAGATTGTTATACAACTATATAGGTATCAGAGGCTCCAAGATAGTCCAGTAGTAGTCGATGTGTTTCAATTCCGGAGTTCCAGTGTTTCAGAGTTTCGAACCTCTGAGTAGGCTGTCATCGAGTCCTTTTTAGATTTATTATGTCGTTCATACATTAATCTCTAAGCCTAAAAATAAATAAAGAAAACTTTATTTTAAGCATTTAAATTTAAGTTACATTACATTACGTAACGTAATTAGTACGATTAAGTAACGCTTTCGTTAGTTACTAATCATTATTACAGCCCTTAACTTCACTGTTGAACATAGGCGCGTTGGTTGTCCCGTAGGGATATTTAATATAGTGGCCACACGTGGCAGGCGGATTGGCAACCTCAGTTTTATTATTAAAGAGTTATTATCAGTAAGATGCTGCTGTCCATCTCTCTTTTAATTTTCTCTCATTACCGTTCGATGAGCTTCTTAAGCGATTGCAGATATAATATATCTTATGTATTCACATTTTCAATGGATCGCACTCAAAAATATTTTTATAACTAAAATCCAAGGCTTTTCACGACAACTCTGGTTTCCCAAACGATCTTGTAATGTATTGTTACGAGCTTGGGGTTTCGAGACAATTAAAAACTGCCGAGTGAATTAGCAAAATTGACGCTTTAGTTACAGAACACTAATTACAACTTAAAACCACACTAATAACAAAACACAATTGTACTGACTACTTTTGTTCGCAGTTGTGTCTCTTCGAAGTATTCGCTTGTATCGCCAACTAAACACTGACCCCGGTTGCGGTCTATACCGGCCTTATATAGGGCCTTAAGATAGTTCCTGAATCTTCTATTATAGAAACAGGTGTCGATAGTTCTAGAAAGTTCTTCCATGGAAATTTCTAGAAGGATCTTGATTCTCCTAGTTCTGCCACTCGATACTAGAGGGCGCTAGTAGTAACTAGTATTGCCATTTACCAGGCATTAATGGTGGCGCTCAACAGTATCGATACTCCGGAGTTAAACCAAAACCGGAATGTTGTTTTGTTATAATTTAATTAAAATACAATGACTATAAATGACTTTTTGGGTGTAAGGGGCTCCGCTAAGATCTTGGAGCCCAAGCCAATCCCGCCTGCACGTGGCGCACCTGCTGGACAACGGAAAGGGCTGTGTATTTCCATATATTCTCAATCTCTCTTGATAGGCACGTAATGTAACCATAAATCTTCTTTTTTCAGATTCTAGAAGGAAGTCACCTGCCTCAGAGCCCTCTCCCAGAGCAGCCGCGTACGACAGGTAATCTATACAAATAAATAAAATTAAAGTGTCTGTCTTTAATATCGAACTAACTGGCATATATTGAGCTGAGCGGGTTATTTTTTGTATTATTTTTGCATATCATAAGACATAAATAACCACTTTTGAGAGTTTTTTCAGTCTGTCTGTCTGTCCGTAATCTTTCCGCTAATCTTTAGAACGGCTAAACCGATTGTAATGCAACTTCACGAATATGGTAATACCAGAAGGGATCTTAGCTATTTTTTATCTGATAAACTTGGAGATATTTAAAATTGGGAGACGATAATTTATTAAATAATATATAAGGGAGGTTTGCAGTTGTGCGCACATCATGGAAAAATACTGGATAGATTTGAATTAGGTTTTATTTTAATTATTATTAAGTTTTATATTTCTATATATTTATTTTATTAAATTTTATTTCTTAGACACTTAGCTTTATCTAAAAAAGAAATATTGCGATATCTTCATTTATTAAAAAGTTATTAAAGTTTTAAGAAACTACGATTTTTATAAGCACTACGTGTTCAGTGATGTGTATTTACTTGCCGCGGAGAAGTGGGACAAATATATCAAATCAAGCATCGCGGGCGAAGTCGCGGGTATCAACCAGTAATACAATTAATATTTTATTTGCACTACTTACCACCTGATGATATTTGGTTGCCTGTGGCCCATAGATATCTACATCTACCCTCGTTTGCGAGTCAAAATGCAGTTACGTTATAAGGAGGACTAAGATGGAATGCCTCTTCTCCAGTAAAAAGGGTCTCCGGTTCTCTACACTCACCATACGAAACACAGCACCATTAAGTTGCTATTTTACGCTGGTATTCTGTGAGAGTGTGGTCCTTCCCCGGTCGAGCCGATGCATTCGTGCTACAACCATAATATAGCTGCAGCATGGCTCTACTCAGGCGAAGCCCAGGCGGGTCGCTAGTTCTTAAAAAGTTACCTCAATTTTATGAGAAAAGTGCTAAAGTGTGCGTGAGAGAGGGAGCTATAGCAAGTCTATTTTTTATTATTTATGGTGGCAAACCTTATTATTGTGGTAGTGGTGTAGAATATCCACTACCCTATATCTTCCCGTGGCAGTAGGTGTCGTAAAAGGCGACAGAGAGAAATAAACTCTACTGTACATTGAATAAAACTGCTTTTACGCGTTTAATTTACTTAATTAAAATTAAGTAAATTGAACGCGATAAAATCCGTAAAAGTAGTTTTATTCAATGTATAGTGTTCTCGTAAATAAGGTACTTGAGGCATGAGGGTAATATGGTCACCCTAAGCTTTACCGCCTTATAAAACCAAACCTAGGTGGAGGACAGAGACAAAAACACAAAGTCGCATACTATAACTGATATATTCAGAAACCATGAAACTTATATGCCAACAAACTGTCTTTATAGTTTGGTGAAGTTATAGAATTGTGTAGTTTTTGTAAATGTCAGTAGGTAAATAAAAACTAACTACACTACACAATACCTAAATCGACTAAAATATTTACTACAATATCAACTGTCAAAATGGCGTCGATAAAGCGGCGCCATTTTGACCCTTTATTATTTGAATGACTGACGAAGAGTTATCGTATCACAGAGCCATCTATGCAAATAAGGATGTAGCTTTTGAGTTATAAGAAGGTGACCATATTAACAGGACGACCATATTACCCTCACGTACTATATAAGAAACCGTTATTTAAACACTACTGTAAGTTAAGAGAATTGGAGCGTGGTTTTGGCGTCACTTAAAATGTACCTAGTGCTAGTGCTCCGTTTATCTTTCTTTTTTAGTGTGAGTTATAAAGTTTAAAAAGATCTTAAATCTTACAGACAATTACTATAAGAACGCATATGAGCAACAGAAACGGCAGTACCAGGCCCAACAGGAGTACAACCATCAGAAAACTGAACCCGATCAAGAGTGGACAAAAGGGCAGAATCAGGTAAGCCATATTTAAAAAGAAAACTCACGATTTATGAACCTGCTGAGTGCATGACAACATTAATATTGATCGTATTGCTGCAGTGTATACAGACAGCGATATTTTGCAATAGCCGGCCAAATTTGTAGAAAAGGTTCCGAATAATTTAGACAAACGGTGAAGAAAAATTAATGAATAATAATCTCAAACATTATGTCATTTTTATCCGTTAAATTCAAAATGCGTGGTAATGCATTTTTGAAGCGCGGAGGTATGCTCTGCTAGGGCCTAAAAATTAACATTCCAACGTTTTGTCACATGAAATCGTATCTAGCAATCATATTATACATATAAATGATAAAAAGCACATTGTCAGAAAGATAAATGATTGTTGAACTTATTAATATTTTTTAATCGATTAATTGCTATTTTCACATAAAAAAGGGGGTTTGGAGGCGTATTTATCAATTCCGCATGGCTTCGTAAACACGAAAACTTTTGAAAAAAAAATTGTTCAACTCAATGTATTTTTAAAACTCTTCATCTATCATATGGGAAGCCATTGAATGTAAATGATAATTTAATTTTGTTTTATTTAGTTGTAATTAGTTTTTTTCGGCTCTAAAATGGCAAAAGAACATCGGTCAAATATGACCAGACCAAAATATCAAACGACCGCCAATGATTGATACATCAAAAAATAGTGACTTTGGTGTATATTAAATTACGGGGTCCAACTTATTTTATTGAAGCCGGTAAAATAATTTAGCTTTGTAATGAAAAACCTCATTTCCTTACTACTTTTTATTGGTTTTGAATGCATCTAAACCCGTCCCGTTTTTATCTGTGGTGTACGTTTCATCATAACACTAAAGTAACACTACTATTATGCGTTTACTTTTTTAAATACTAGATTTTATTGTTGATTTTTTATTTATTTTTGTAGTGTATTATTAATAATATCATTTTTAAATGGGGATATTGAAAGTATTACGAAATAAGTTGCAAATGATAGGTTGACAGTAAACTTAGAATGCACTAATACTTAGAACGGAACGTATTATGAGTGTCTCTATGCAGTCTGTGGTATTACGACACAGAGCTGTCAAAGCGTGAGCAAAAGTCAATGCACCTGTGTTTTAGATACTTAGCAGTGAAAAGATTAGAAAGGTAATTGATTAATTTTTCTGGTTTTAGCCATTGACTTGACTTATTTAGTTAAGTATATATTACTGCATAGTTTTCATATTAATTGTTTTAGCTTAGGTTGCAGTCATGGCTACATCATAACCTCAAAAATGACGAAATACATAAGTGTAATGTTCTAAAAACCTCGGCTTTTAAATAATATATTTACAATTTACGATTTAGATTGTGCCCAGGGGGAACGGATTAATCCATACACTAGTCATGTTCGCGATATTTTATAGCCAGGTCACAACATGTATGGGCCGTGACCGATGTTCTTTCGGTGGTTTTAGCAGCCTTGTATTAATTTCTTTTACTAAATTGGCCGAAGAGTACTTTATTTACTCTGGCCTCAAATGCCGTCGTGAGTGGTCGTTTGTTACAGCGTCTCGTTCTGAAAAATATCGATCACCGTAGAAATACGAAATATTCCAAAAACTAAATTTGATTCATACTTGACCAAGTTAAGATATTATTATTGTTTTTATAATCACATATTTGTATTACAATATTTTGTTTCCCTAAACGCACGCAAGATTTATATATAAATAAATATACTTATATGTCTCGGACTTTATAGACCTGAAGATGTGTACTGGAACTCATCGACGAGGGCACTAGATGTGCCGAGTTTGGGCTCGATTTGTTAGTTATGAATAGACTTTACCTCCGGACGTGACGGAGTGACTTTGGTTTAAGTGTACTTTGATGACTGTCCAGTCCATTCAAAACAATCCACGACGTTACTGATTTATTAGCTTTATTTATGCCATCTAGCGTCTTCCTTACGTACCACCGTGAGATTCGATCAATTTTCGTTCGATAAAATGACTTTAACCATTGAATGGAGTTGATAGCGGTTTACAACGCCATTTTATTCGAAAGAAACATTCTTTAAAACATCCATACATGTATTATTTTGATTTATTACATTAAAATTTAGGCTTCTCATGTCTAAGAAATGAGGATTGTAACAAATATTTGCTATAAAATCAAACATATATCCAATATTTTATGATCAAATTGTGGTTGAAAATTATCATATTAAATAAATTGTTTGCCGTTAAATCTTTTCTTTTATTTTTATTAAACTGTACGAAATTATATTTTTAACACATATATGTAATAATTGGCTGAATTCATTAATGGCTTATGTTAATTTTATATACTTTGTTGTTACGGTATTGGCTGAAATATTTCAAGGTTCAAGGTTTCAAACATTGGCGTCAGTTTAATATTATTTAAAATTGAAGTTTGACATAAAATTATTGGAAAATTGGAAGCATAATAATAAGGTTATTAGTGAAAACTTGTGTGCACAATTGGATTTACCAATAGTTTTTTTTAACTGGTTTTACTGCGCACACATACATTCGTATGGGTCGATTTGTAGGCAATAACGTTGTTGCCCATAAATCATGTTCAATTTAGGATAATTTCAAATAAAAATAGAAGACTTATTTACTCGTATTTTCAAAAACTGCAATGACGGTATAATATCATTATTTATGTAATTGAACTCACACATTCCTTTTTTAACCGAGTTAAATAAAAGAGAAAGTTAATAGTCTCGACATAGTCTTTTATGTAGGTATGTTTACAGATTTTTCGGAAACGACTAAACCAATTTTAAGAATTATTTCTTTAATTTTATTGGTTATACTTCATGGGTAGAGAACCATATGAATTTATTGTTCAGTCATGGTAATATATATTGTTCAGTCAAGATCCAAACTATTACACTTAAAAATATGAGCAGATCGTTAGCTATTCGTTGTCAACAAAGAGTATATCCTTCTACTCCTTCTAAATGACTTGAAAGGTTTTGATGAAATTTTTATGGAGTACTTATGGGGTTACCTGGATGGTTCCTAGCTTACAAAGAGCATATAATTACTACGTCATAGGCAAGAATATGGCACGCTTACCTCTTTTTGGGTTTCCGTACCCGAAGGGTAACTAATGGGACCCTATTACTAAGCCTCCGCTGTCCCCCGTCCGTCTGTCTGTCAGCTGGCTGTATCTCATGATCCGTAATAGGTAGACAGTTGAAATGTTTACAGAATGTGTATTTCTGTTGCCGCTAAAAAATAAAAATAAATTAAAAAATAAAAGGGGCTCCCCTACTAGAAACGTGTTACGAAATCCTTCATGCGTGAGTCCGACTTGCACTTGGCCGGGTTTTTTAATAATCATAAACTAATTTGGTTGCCACACAACGCTCCGCTAGAAAATCTTTATATCTATCTATCTAGTAAGTTTTAGTTCAACCGCCCGAAATTATACGACCTCTTTTTTTTTAAAACAAAATGATTACAGGTTGCGAGTGGTCAAGGAGCTGGAGGCCAGTACTTTAATCAGAACTGGAAGTCAAGCGGCCAGGACGATGGACAGGTATTCTTAACCCTTTACGATTTGTGTTGTTTTTGCGCTTATTTGACGAGCTGCAACGTGTTATAAAAGATATGGTATAGCCACGTCATACGTGATAGAGCCACACTGCAATTATATTATGGTTGTAGCACGAATAAGTCGCCTCGACCGAGGTAGGACCATGCTCTCACAGAATACCAGCGTATAATAGCAGCTTAATATTGCTGTTTCGTATGGTGAGTGTAGAGAACCGGAGACCCTATTTACTGGAAACGACAACGCATCTGCATTTTTTTCTTTAATGAAGATAAATGTAGATGTCTATGGGCCGCAGCGTCTATTTACCAACAGGTTTATTACATGTTGTATTTATCATGGTAATTACTAAAAAATAACATTACCAGTTTTTATGGAGTACACTCTGCAAAAAAAGTAACTTCGAAGTTTTCCTTTTAATCTGTTAATTTGTTGATACAGATGTTGACCAGCTAATAATTTAAAATTAAAAAATTTGTACAACCGACTTCAATATAAATTATTTAGAGTAACTCAAAAACTATTGGTCAGATCTTGATCAAATTTATAGGGGACCACATGTAAAGCACCAGATGAGAGAGTTATGAGGTAACAAATAAAAAAAAAACATGCAGTCGAATTAAGCACCTCCTCCTTTTTGAAGGCGGTAGAAAAGAGTATTTTCGAAGATATCGAAGTCGCTGTGCAACAAAAATGTTTAATGGCTACTTGAGTATTTTAGAAGATATCGAAGTCGCTGTGCAACAAAAATGTTTAATGGCTACTTGAGTATTTTAGAAGATATCGAAGTCGCTGTGCAACAAAAATGTTTAATGGCTACTTGAGTATTTTAGAAGATATCGAAGTCGCTGTGCAACAAAAAAGTTTAATGGCTAGTTGAGTATTTTAGAAGATATCAAAGTTGCTGTGCAACAAAAATGTCTAATGGCTACTTGAGTATTTTAGAAGATATCGAAGTCGCTGTGCAACAAAAATGTCTAATGGCTACTTGAGTATTTTAGAAGATATCGAAGTCGCTGTGCAACAAAAAAGTTTAATGGCTACTTGAGTATTTTAGAAGATATCGAAGTCGCTGTGCAACAAAAATGTTTAATGGCTACTTGAGTATTTTAGAAGATATCGAAGTCGCTGTGCAACAAAAATGTTTAATGGCTACATGAGTATTTTAGAAGATATCGAAGTCGCTGTGCAACAAAAATGTCTAATGGCTACTTGAGTATTTTAGAAGATATCGAAGTCGCTGTGCAACAAAAATGTCTAATGGCTACTTGAGTATTTTAGAAGATATCGAAGTCGCTGTGCAACAAAAATGTTTAATGGCTACTTGAGTATTTTAGAAGATATCGAAGTCGCTGTGCAACAAAAATGTTTAATGGCTACTTGAGTATTTTAGAAGATGTCGAAGTCGCTGTGCAACAAAAATGTTTAATGGCTACTTGAGTATTTTAGAAGATATCGAAGTCGCCGTGCAACAAAAATGTTTAATGGCTACTTGAGTATTTTAGAAGATATCGAAGTCGCTGTGCAACAAAAACGTTTAATGGCTACTTTTTCAACTTTCGATAGATGGATCCTAAGACTTGCCATAAAAGTAATGGATTCCAATTGCCTAGAGTATATCGATATTTCTTATTTATTATTCGTTATTTATATTATACTCGTAACATCCATGTGTCGATGTTTTGAGGACATAACATCGATGTAAAAACATCGAAGTTCTCCCGCCAAACATTTATGTTTATCTACCATACCATTTACAGGTATGATGCACGTGGCAGCCATTTCTCTTCTCGGTCATTTCAATCATCTTAGCTACCGTTAAGTCCTGTCGAAAGTCCACTGCTGAACACAGGCAGCTTGCTGTGTTTCGTATGGTGAGTGTAGAGAACCGGAGACCCTTTTTACTGGAAAAAGGCATTCCATCTTAGTCCTCACGGGTGACGAAGCATCTGCATTTTGATTATTTATTGAGGACTAGCTGTCCCTCGTGACTTCGCCCGTGTGGAATTTACTACGATTTCATGGGTTTAAATTTTTTTGCGCGAAACCCTAATTCTTTTCCTAAAATAGAAGTATCCAAAGTTACTCCTTATAACATCAGCTATCTGTCAGTGAAAGTCTCGTCAAAATCGGTCCAGCCGTTTCGAAGATTAGTAGGAACAAACAGACAGACGAAAACTTTAAAAATTGTTTTTTTGTTTATTAGTACCGTACATAGTTTTATATGCATTTAGTAAAAAGCTGTTATTTTAACATTACAAACAGACACTTCAATTTTATTTATTTGTATAGATAAATGTAGGACTGTGTAATGCTGGACTGTGTGCTCGATTGTCACCCTATACCATAAAATAAAAACAGGCCTCCATCATAGCTTGCCTCAAAGAAATAGATATATAAATATTTACCCGACTACCCCAGAAGGAGGGATACGTTTTTCAAATATATCTGTATATGACTATTTCTTTGGCTCGCTATCTAGCCTAGAAAAGGCTTGATGGATTTTAACATAATTATGGAATGTCGTTAGATTCGTCTTAGTTGCGGGAGTGACATAGGGTAATAAATACTTTCTCTTTTCAGTTATTTTTTTGACACAGTCGGGGTTTTTAACTACTTTTTTACCATTGGGCTTTTTTATTCAGAATAGAGTATAAATATTATTTATTGAAAGTCACTCTATGTTAAATTAACACAAGCGCGACCTTATTTTTTAAAAAAAAGGACAGTTTGTAATTATTAAAGTAACATATCAACTAGACATGTGTCATTCCATTCATTTCTAGTGACCCGATCATTCAAGTATTGATTCGTGTTACGAACCGGGTTATTCGGGTCGATCGTTCAAATGGATCATTTCGAGTTTCAGTTGGTACTAGGTACTCTGTGATCTGTGAGACCAATCATGTTGGTCGTCGGACATTACTATACTCTTTGGCCGTAGGTCCTGTCGATCGTTTGATCCGGTACGTTCAAAAATGTAATTGCAATCATCTACTTTAAAGCGACCCGGGTCAAATGAACGAATCACTCACGATTGACACATGTCTATTATCAACCCAAAACAAATTAGAAATAGCTTGGTAGCAATCACCTTTTTCCCAGAGGTTATTTTTATTCTTTTTTCTTTTCTTCATTTTTTTAATAAAAAAAAATACGTTACTCTACACTAATATTTTCTCCTGTATCGTGGAGGCAGTTCACAAACATAAATTGCGCAAAGACAAACATCCAGACCCGGAAAAATTATTTGCAGGCCATACAAATACTTGTTCCGTGCGGTATTTGAACCTGCGGCCCCCAGCGCAGCAACTCATTGCGCCACGGAGCCGTCATCATAAACCATTATAAAGATAGAAAGTTTGGCAACGCATCTAAAATTCCCAAGAAGCAGTTGTTCATGGACAGCGGTAGTCATTTACCATCAGGTGAGCCGCATGTTCGTGAAGGATATTTGCAATAACTGCTACGCTTGGCAGGCGAGTTGCCAACCGCAGAGACGCTGCTGCCTATCTCCGGATCTGTTTCCATCTGTCGCCCCTTACGACACCCATGGAATGATTTTGGGTTCTGGATATGTATTCTTTTATCGCCATTACACTGTTAGGTGTCTCGATAATAATTATAATTTATTTTTGTTTCAGTATCGTGACAATGATATCCCTGAACAGAACAGGGGACCACACTCTTTCGGTGAAGGATACGCATTTTCGTTTAAGGGATAAACAAGATGGCGTACTGGAAATAATATATGTTATTTTAATTCCTAATGAACGTTTGATCTGATCGACTAACAATACCTTCATAAGATTTCCAAAAATATAATAGATATTTTTAGGAAAATGTTTTGTAAATTGAATGGATTGTAGTCGAAATGTATCGCACGTTTCTCAGATTTATGAAGAATAAAATTTTATAATAAAAGAATGTTAATCTAAATTATTGTTTGATTTACAAAACCTTCCAGTTTTCTTATTTAGGAGGTATATGATACTAACTAGCTGTTTCCCGCGCCTTCGCTCGCGTGAAATTTAGTGTTTTAATTTTTTTGCGCGGAACCTTAATTCTTTTTCTAAAATAAAAGTAGCCTAAGTTACTTCTTATAATATCAGCTATCTGCCAGTGAAAGTCTCATCGAAATCCGTCTAGCCATTTTAGAGATTAGCCAGAACAAACAAACAGACAAAAATTTTAAAAATATTATGTTTTTGTAATAAGTACCGTATATACTTTCATATATACATGTACTAAAAAGCTGTTGTTTTGACATTACAGACAGACACTTTAATTTTTATTTATTTGTGTAGATATAGATTAGCAATTAGATCAGGCAACGTTGACCATATTGTTCAAAAATACTAGGTGAGCTGTATCAGGCAGTACAATAAAGTAAAAAGGCATATAAAAATTACGTAAATATTCATGTAGAAAAATGTGCGTTGGGTTAATTTTTATAATATATATTACTTTTCTTTATAATATGGAAAGAAAAACAGTTATGTAGTTCATATACCCACATTTTATTAAAATAGAAATTATATTAACACTTGCAACAAAATATAGAATTCAAGAATCAAAAATCTGTAAAATATTTTACAAACTCGGTAGGTACTAATGTAACCAATCGATAGATTGGAATAAACGATATAGGTACTATCGGATGATTATAAAAAATGTGATACATTCCAATTTAATACAGATTATAAACGCGATAAATTCAAATAAGCAAAACCAGCAGATAATGCTGAGACTTGAGTTCTTTTTGTAATATAGGCATAAAATAATTATAAATTAAATAGAAAAGATGGTAATGGCACTTAGCATTTGAAGCACAAAAAATGTTACATTTAGATATTTCGACTTTAACAATTTTGCTTGTTTAAATTGTGACCGCCTTACTCAAAGTAGCTCTCGCTCTTTTCTCTAAATGACATTAGAAAGAGATCGGTATAGAGATAATTTTATAGTTAATTTAAGCAAGTGACAATCAACGGTTATACGTGAGGCCGCAAATATAGAAGAATGTAACTTTACAGGCGAAATTCCTTTTGGTGGGGACTTACCCGTCAGCGAATTACTGTTCTTGTAATATCATACAAATAATATTTTGAACAGGATTGTGTATGAAAAAGTGATGCGACTTAGCGTATTAAATGTAGTCTGCCCTTGTAACTGTTAGTGAAAACGATTAAACAAGTACTGAGATGGTGACATAAAGTTCAAATTATGCATTTGTCGTCATCGACTGTTTGCTCAGCTAAGTTGTAGTTAAACTGTTCCAAAACTTCTCAACATGACGTGTTAAAGTTTTGCGAAAATCATTGTAAATTAATTATTTTAAACGAAAATAATTATATTATATCAATATTAATTAACTTGACAGTGGCAAAAGGACTAATTGTACGAGTTCACAATTAAAGAAAAAAAGCGTCACACTATTATTATGATTTAATTTTAGAGCCAATTTACTAATAACTACTATAGTGCCGTTACCGTCTTTCGATTCTCTTAGTAATAACACAATTTATACAAGATATAATTATCCATTCGCTTATTTTATTTATATACGATAAAAGCATCAAAATATCACTAAATCTATCACATTAATATAAGATATTATCGTTATACATAAACATTATTATCTGTGACGGGAAAATTCCACTACCTAATAAAATATTATATATGATTTAATGCGTAGGTACATAAGTTGTATATTTTACAAAGTTTCCATTTATTACTACCATACACTGAGCTCGTGGCTTTTTTTTTAATAAATAATCTTATTCTAACATTACACGATTATGTTTCAATTATGTCGTACAATATTCTGAACATCTGAATGAAAACAACAAATGAAAATCACTAGAACTGAAAGGCCTTTGTAAAATTTACTTAAATATTACATGCAATAGAAAATATAATTTAAGAAATATCTCTAAAAGAAAGAAATTTGTTTTTTAAGCAATTATTACTAATTTCGTTATGAATATCTCATAAGTATTTTTTTAAGAATAATAATGATGAACTGCAAATAAAGAAGTTCAAGTCATTCAGACAATCATAATAGTAACACTAGATAATGATAAAATATAGGTATAAGTTAAAAAGGACCCATTCCAGCTATTGTTATAAATACACCATTTCGCATATACAGACATAATTTTTCATCAAATATGAATGATACATCTACTATTGAATACATTACGATGATTTAAGTAGATTCAAAGACCTACATACTACTCTAATAAATTTTTGTTATAGGTATGACGATGAATGAAAGATAAAATTTATCTTTTATATTTAATAATTATATCAGTTTTATTTCATTTTCGTTTAATACTGCAGACTGCAGAACATGCTTATTTAATTTATTCCTTCGGCGTCATTGAGTTATATGCACTACGTACTAGAGAAGCTATTCCAAACAAAAATTGTGCGCTACTCTGTCTTCGCGCATGATATAAAATAAGATATTAATATAAAAGAAATACAAGAATTTAATATAAAATACTCTTATTTTAATATAAACAAACATATTTCTAAATAAAATTTAATAATAATTATCTTATGGAATTCACAAATCTTTAATTTACGCAATATTTAGTTTAGTGTACGGATTGCAGTACAGTTCAGTTGAACATAGTCAATGTTCGGAATGCGAAATCTAGTGCGTTAGTACATATATATAAATGTCCGGCGTTGTTTTTTTTTAATGTTGTTAAACATGTTACTGCTCTTTTGTCTTTGTTTTTAATAATATCACTCTTTTATTTTATGATGACATTTAAATTAATCTGCAATGACCTACCTGTAAGTATTTTAGTAGATTAATTATTATACTACTATAATTTCGAATATGTACCATTTTTTTTATTGATTTTTTATTTGGCTTAGTATTAATGATTCATATGACTTTTAATGAAAATGCTTACCTAACATTGGAAGATAGTGTGATTATTATTTTTTCTTATTATCTAATTACAATTAAATAAAATACGACTGCTTTCGAATATATAAATAAGAACATTTTGATTCTAATGATTATTGTAGGATACGAATACAATAAATAAACTTTATTACGAAAAAAAAAAAACAATTAAATGCAAGATAACATTTTGTGAAAAAAGAACAAAAATATTGAGTGGAATGGACACTTTTTTGACCATTGTCATCATTTGTTATCTATGCAGCCATACATAGCTAACGTTGATGTGTGTTATAAATTATAATCTATAGCTTTATAAACTTGCAACATAATATTTTTGTTACTTCTAGCCCTGATTAAAACAACATTACACGGTTCATTTCAAACATAGTTTAAAATTAACGGCAGGTAAAGTAATTTTTCTAAAGGTTTTTTTTTAAACATTGGAGGCGTCTTAATAGGGTATAGACTTAATATTGACTAACATCTATATACTTAATGCGTGGTACTTTTTATTTATCACCATGTATTGTCAAATATCCAGTCTAAATATCTAACGTGTTTAAAAAACGTAGTATTGTTTAATTATTTTAATCTCAAACTTTCCTTAATCCGCAGATAATATTAACCTTTTAACTCTTTTTTTTAAAATTGTTTCTCTTTCGGAGGAAATAAAAAAATATTTATTAGACAATAATGTTCAGATAATATTTCGTTAGATGCCTTTCAAAAATAAGTAGTAAAACACTCCTGGCAAAAAAATGTCCATCCACTTGCGTAATTGTAAAATATTACACCTAACTTAAAAGCAGATAAATATTGTAATTATCTACTTGAAATGTCTATAAACTTTAGCAGATTAAATATTGTGTAGAAAAATTACGGAGACAATTAAGTTTAGCTACGATTAAGAAGGATTTAAGTTGGATATTTAAAGTTAAACTGCCAACCTAAACTGTACGCGGTGTTCACTGGTACCAACTGGTACTAAGCACAGATAACTGCAGTATTACTTTTCTCTATGGATAACTGTATACTAGTCAGAGACTAAGAATGAACTAGCATGAACGATATTGGTAACCAAATCCCACAGACTAATGATGTAAATGACTAATGCGCTAATGTGAGGATGACAGCTCTACTCTCACTAAGCCTAAGCATCATAGAAGTCTGTGACTAAGTCGCTGGCATAACTCGTGGTGAATATAAGTAAACATTTCAAGAAATGCTTCGTTTTGGCACATTTTTGTAAAGACCTATTTATATTAATTTATTGCATACTTCCTTAAATCTACTGCTAAACATAGATACTCTTAGGGGATATTTACCACACTGAAGACAAGATCTCTTGAATATTTTAGTAAATATGATAAGTGCCTTAAATTATTTCCTTAAAGTGGAAGCGCCAGAGCAGCCAACGAAATTCAAATTTTCTTACGCTTTTTGCAATTTGCTGGTCAGTGTCAGGTTGTATGTTTAATAAAATATGATTCGCGTTTTTTGGAATTTGCATTCCAAAAAACCCAAGAAAATTTGAATTTCGCGGGCCACCCCGGAGCTTTCACCTTAAATCTAAATTAATATTATGTTTTTATTTGGAACACTTTTAACATTTAAAATACCTATTTGTTAAATGAGTTTTACTAACTCATCATTCATATTTGATTTTTAAATGGCCACAGACTACAGACAATAGATACACAAAATACTATACAATATTGTTTCTGTACTTTATAGCTCTGTATTATATTAAAGGATTATCGTTTATGATTTCATTATTTATATTATACCACAGAATAAATAATATTGTACATAAGCGAAATAGTAAATGTTATTATTAACATACTTTCAATGCTTCTTATAACGTTGCACAAAAGATATATTAGATATATATATTTTGTATGCGATGGTCTTTGTTGGTCATTTACTATATTATATAAATATTAAAAAAATACGGAATGGTGCTGAAATAACGGGTGAGATGGACTTAAAGTTATTGTCAGATAAATGTATAAGTACCATCATTATAATTGCTAAAACGTATAAAATTTTGATTTAGATGTATTAAATTCGTGCAATTATTGAATTCTACTTAGGGTGGTCCGAATACAATAAAATACAAATTAGCGATAATACGTAAAATACATATAAAAAGATGCAGTGTTTATTTTTCACTTATTGTCTTAAATATATATTTTTAAAAGGTTAAATGTTACGTGTTATTGTAATAAAATATTGTCAAAGTCACATTTGCAAACCTATGTAATAAATAATTATGTGACACTTGAAGGCGGAAAAGCAATGATAGAACACGAGAATTATTTTAATCACGATATTAATTTGTTGAGATGGGAATAAGTAAAAAAAAAAGAATATTTTTAAGACCATGGATATAAAAAAGTTACTCTATTATAACTAAATGGATAAACATTGTAAACGGTCCTTACACAAATATTCCAGCCATGTAAGGCCAGCCCAAAGAGTGTAATATGTACCTAACCATCGTTACAGGAAGTCTAGCCTAAAGCAAAGAGACTTAAAGGACAGCTAATATATTTACAGACAGATTATAAACATACAGTATTTTTGATATATGTCAGATTATAAATTGGTCGTGAATTACGATATAGAATATTTTGTATATATAAGAAGAAAATATTATAAGATAGAATGTATGATATATTTTTTATTTACTACAGTAGACATAATCTATATAAAATATATAACATGGACACACATATAGATTGTTTTCGTTAATTATTTATTATTTCATAAATAGTCAAGAACATAGTGAAACCATTTTTTTTCTTTTTTACCATTTTTAATAAAAATATCTTAGGTCATATTGATATTCAATAAATCTTCTTATATTTTAATTTGCAGCTAAATACAGCTTTACTCTATGAGTAAATAAGGTTCTTAAGATATTTTTATTTTAAAACTAGTTGCATATTTCAATACTTTAAGCAAATATACTGCGGTCGTCGCATTAAAAAAATTGAATCGGGCGGGCTTCAAGATGGCGGCGTCGTTATAATGGCGGGCTCTATTCTTCCTCCTCGTTTTGGTAGCTTACGTAGCGTACCGATGCTTTCTCACTTATAATCAAACTCTTAAAAGAAAAAAAGTAGGTACCATAAGTAAATATTTTTATTTTATCATAAATTTAATAGTAAGTTTATTTCTGACCTCTCCCTAACATTAGTATACGTCTATGAATATATGACATGTGTAAAATAAAAAATCTACATAATTATTATGTGTATAGTCTTACGTTCATCAGATGTCGCTAGTTGGGTCTGAGGTGAAGTTTTTGTTACACAGTGTCATTAAATTGAGATGTTAGTTTCAAATAAAAGTTCATCAGTTTCTAGAGTATTATATTAGTGCCTACACAAATTAAAACCAGTGGTATGCTCTTTATTTTTTTAACTTTATTAAAAAAAAATCTACATTTAGGAAAATCCGAAATGTTGTTTATTCACTTAAATCTAATTAATATAAAATATAAATAATATTATATGATGGCAATGGCAATAATAGACAAAGAGGAGAATTATGTCGTCAGTGGAAAAACGATTTGAAACCATATGTTCTATGGCTCCTTTTAATGTGATAACATCGAGCTCGGTTTTGCCAATTAGATGGATGGATTGGGTCCCATTTATATTAAGTAAGATTTTCTTTAATCATCACGCTAGGCAGACGATTTTTTCGTTCGTTCTACCAGACGAGTTTTTACATCTGACATTATACGAGACGGTAGTACCACCCGTTTATGCTAGCTATTACATTTGTAACGTTTTAAATGTTGCTACATACTGTGTAATGTGTGACAGGGAAAATTGAAAGAGAGAGAGGCCAGACCAACATGGCGGCAAACTATAACATGATTAAATACGGTGGTACAACAAACTACCTATAAAAATAAACCCAAAAATACGTTTCATTAATCTATGAGTAGAATTTAAAGAACATCAGTCAGCGTTTAGTCTAACACAAATGGAAAATAGTCACCATTTAATTGCTACAAATTTCATTTAATCGATAACCACCTACCAAGATTTAATAGAATGATCATCATCATTATCATTATTGCCCTTCACAAGTCTACTGCTGAATATAGGCCTTCCTGCATCTAGTGGCAGGTCGTCCTACACTTTGCTTACCGGCATGAGACTGACACTCTAGAATCTTTCTTTCCCAACGGTTCGTTGAACTATATCGCAAACATAGGATAATTTCCCATGATTGGCTCTTAAACGGTCACAGCATTATACAATATGTAAAAAAAACCCTGTCCGATCTGTGAGAGGTATTTTGGGTATCACGATAGGTTTCTGTTTATGTAATCGTATTCAGAGAATAATTAAAAAATTACCATGCGAAAAATAAAATAAATTATAATTAACAAAACCATAGACATAGAGAGAATGGGCTGTGCGTTCCGTATTCAGTTGTGCAGTGAATACAGACCGAAAAGTGCGAGAAAGACAAAGCGAAATTGTGGCCAGTAGTAGTCTCTTTCTAGAATTCTAATTGGTCCACGTAAAATTCTGATTGCTTCACGTCAAACTCTGATTGGTCCACGTCATTGGCTTGCAGGAACATGGACCAATCAGGCTTGCAGGAAAGAGACAGGTATTTGCCGCACAGTCGCTTTGTCTCTTTCTAGAGAATGGTTACTTTAGTGAGGCTAAAAATTCAAAAATACAGTTTCGCTAGATTTTAAGATTGCTGAATTTCAATCAAATTGTAGTAAATAATATGTATTTGAAATAAAACATATAACATTTTTATATTAATTAATAATATTTTTTTGTGTCAATTCAGATCAGAGAGTTTTTAACATTTTGTATAATAATGCTACATTTACAAAATATAATTTTCTCCTGCTCTCACTTACCTGCTTCTCATCTCTTGCTGGTGGAGAACGAAGCATCAGAAGAAACGGGGCGTATGCAAAGTTGAGTAACGCGATGATTACCAACATCCATTCGAAGCCAATACTGTTGACCAGAGCTCCGGAAAAGGCGGGACCTGTATAACGAAATCATTTATCGTATTTATTGCGTTACTAGCGACCCGCGCCAGCTTTGCCTGGGTAGGATAATTAATGTGACATTATTTCGATTTAAGATAATTAAAGAAAAAGAAAGTCTATTAGCCTACAACGACAAACTTCATCATTAATAAACATTATAATATGGTAATGGATAGATGTATAGAAGATAATCTACCAGGAGCAATCTACCTCTCACAGAGAGGTGAAATATGGCAAATATCCCCCTATGAGGCAATCTATAGGGGAGGCCTATGTTCAGCAGTGAACTTTACTAGTCTGTAACAGTAACGGTTACTGTACGCTTGACCAGGCCCAGAAGGGCTAGAACCCAGAGCCGTAATGCCGGCTTAAAAATGTACGCTTGACGAACAAAGAAGCAAACCGTTCGGTTTTTTTTTCTATAACTACATTTCCACTTACCTACAGCATATCCGAGACAGAAAGCGGTATCTCCTATAGCGTAAACGGATCCATACACAGCGGCGTGACGGATGTCAACCAAGAAACCAAGTTCGGGCATCATTGAGGAGTCCACCATGCCAATGGCAAAGCCCAGGCCGGCGTTCGGGATGATCAGGTGTTCTAGTTTACGCGCCATTGGGATCTGGATTAAAAATAAACGAATTTTTTTAAAAGATTCCAAGGCCTCGACCATTGACCAAGAATTTCTGTTATAGTAGTAAGTATAAGGTATAAGTATAAGGTATTTTCCTTTTAAGCGGAAGTAGACGATATGTTTCATAGAAATATACGTCTATAATTTTTTTTTAATTCCGAGGACAAAGGTTGCCTTAAGGAATGCCTGTTAACAGTAGAAAAAGATTATGGTTCCTGTTACTCACCATACAATACATATCAGCATTAAGGTTTCGGCTCATTACTATGGTCCATACTACGAATGTGTTTTGATTACTTATTAAAAGTCAGTACTTGATAGTAAGTGGTGTTGAACTTTGTTGTAGTGTAACAAAAGCTTTATCACTCTTCACATAAAAACTCCCAGACACTATACAACGACAGTCACCACTACACCCACTAAAACGTAATGAAGGATGACGGGATGATGATTACATTATCGACTTTTTACTTTTCGCGCTGCCACAATGCGTGTGAGCAAACTTCATGTGTCTTTGCATTATTTTATCGGATATGCTGGTCGTTGTAAGAATCATACCGTAGGTGTCGAAACAGGTGACAGAGGGAAACAAAATAGAAGATGGATAACAGCATCAGGCAAATGCCACCCCCCCTCCGCCCTATGAGGAAATTTAAGGTGAAGGGCTACGTTATGCAGTAGACTTTTGATAGGCGTTAACGGTAAATATGTAGATTTCCTCACGTTGTTTCCTTCACCGCCGAGCACGTGGTAAATCAGCACTTAAAACTGCAATTAAAAATGTTATTGGTGCCGGCAGGGAAAGTACTGGAGCTTGCGTACTGTGAAGTCTAGAGTGGGCGTTTAGCCCCTGAGCTATCATGGCTCACTACATGATGAATTAGGAATTAAATGTACGTACCAAAATGAGACAAAACCCGATAATAATCAGTCCGGTGAGAGCTGCAAGCCAACGGCCCATTTTGTGGCCAAGAGGTCCGAACAAGTTGGTGCCTATAAATAAAAATTTTGATAGAATAGAATAGAACAGAATAATTTTTATTCAATACACATTATTACAATAAGAAAGTAATTTTTTTATTTACTACTGGCCCGGAAAATATCTCTGTCCTGGGCAGAACTAGCAACAAATCAAATGTTACGAAATTGCATTTGGATTAGCATGATGGCATGAAATAATTATTTGGTTTTCGTAATTACATACCAAAATTACTATTTCAAGAAAAATGACACTTGAATCACTATGGTTCTACCATCGTCAATTATTCTATATAAAAAAAATAATCGCAGAAGATAAGCGAACATACCAATAAGGTAGCAAATGCTAGCGGGTAAGAAGGCAACACCCTGCTGCCAGCGACGTGCCTCCATCGTGTCCGCCATCCAGATAGGTAAGCTAGGCTCCAACATGGCGATACCAACATTCGCAAATGTAATTGCCCCTGGAAAATATATGTCAATTATTTTTAAATAATAATAATGTGTTCCAGACCGAATTTCGGTCACGGCGGCCAGTCATAACGGAGACTAGCCGTCTGCGCAGTACAGGATTATATAGTGCCCAAGTGTATACGTGAGCACTGGTGCTATCTCTATTCCCTCACTCTCATAGACCGATGGGACCTCAAGCCGATATGACCGGATAGAGATCAGACGCAGGGCCTTCTGTGCTTTCCAAGGAAAGGGAGAAGGGGGGTGGGGGGATAACACAGCCGACTTCCTGACTTCGGGCTACTACCACGGCCATGCTTATGTTTACCTAATTTTTTGTTGATAAAATTGTTTATCCGAATGCGTATATATTACATAATTAAATTTAACAATCGAAAACCGAAAACATCTATAAAAGAAAATGTCACGAAAATATCTAACAGTGCAACAATTATAAATGTGTTTTTTCTTGTAGTAATAAATAAATGATCTTGTTCGATAAATATTTTTAACTTATAAGTATGTAAATGATGTTAATAAATGATAATGAGTATAATAATATCCAAAATCATTTTATTTCCAATTTCGTGACAACCGCTACCGACACGCTGGCCGCGTAAATACCTACGCGGGCGGTGACTTCGCCGGACATCAAAGGCGTTTCACAATTATAAGGTCTTAAAACTGTGCAGCTTTTAAGAATTTCCGGGAAGAAAACTCAACAACTGACTTTTTGGCCCGGTGCAGAATTTGAACCTCATGAACAGCAGTCGCGTTTTACAACGGCTATACCAACGAGATAGTATTTTTTAAACGTAACATTCACTTGAGCCGCGTGACGGCAAATGAAGAGGATTTAACACCACATTTCGTCAAGTGGGTGTCGTAAGAGGCAACTAGAGGAAATTAACGTTCATACGTGGTAGAGCCACGCTGCAGCTGTAGTTTAGTTGCAGCAGGAATGGGTCGGCTCGACCGGTAAAGGATAACACTCACAGAATATCAGTGTGCAATAGCAGCTTAATGCTGATATGTTTCGTATGGTGAGTGTAGAGAAACGGAGACCCTTTTTCTGGGTACGAGGCATTCCATGACAGGTCATTTCCCATTAGTGTCAATATAATTTTTGTTTCATTTAAAACCAGTTTTTCTAAACAAAGTTGATTGAAAATTCTGCCAAGAGATATCTGTAATTGATAAGAATTTCTTAATATTTTTAATACATACATAAATTATACGTTAATACGTGGTAGAGTCATGTTGCAGGTATATTAAAGTTGTAGCACGAATGGGTCAGCTCGACCGGGGAAGGAATTACTCCAGATCCATACAAAATTCTGTACAAAATATCATATTTCTAGTAACAAGGTTTTGGGCTGTTCGTTGAGTCAGTGAGTTATTAGAGTGAGGGAATTGGTACTAGTCTTTATATATATATATATATATATATATATATATATATATATATATATATATATATATATATATATATAATTGGTACTAGTCTTTATATATATATATATATATATATATATATATATATATATATATATATATATATATATATATTAATAAAAGGTAGATCTGGGGGCCCAAAACATAGTTAAGTTAAAATTGGGACTCCCAAAAACTGACACATTACACCATCTTCCAAATAGCAAGTTAAGAACACTGACTTACCAGCAGCAACAAGTATGTACGGATCGGTTATCAGGTCTCGGAGGGAAGGCGGTTCAGTTTCTTGCCTCACCACACCAGGCTGTAGAATCATCAGCTGCAACACTGAAAGACATAAAATTACCTACAGATTATCATCCGGTAGGTGTCGTAAGAGGCAAAGAGAAACCAAAATACTAGATGGGCAGCAAAACCTTCCTGACAAGAGCGAGCTTAGACCTGAATTCATGGAAGACAGATTTGGTCCGCCCGATCCCTAAAAAAGGTGACCGCTCCGTCACCGTCCAACTACAGGCCTATCGCCATCACCTCCTTGTTCTCCAAGCTAATGGAGTCTATTATAAGCTGCCAGCTTATAATAGACCAGTTTCCTTGCTGATCGGAGCATCAAGGTCGTAGTAGACGGTGCATGCTCTGATTACAAGCCTACTAACGCTAGTGTTCCACAAGTCTGCGTGCTATCACCAACGATGTTTCTTTTGCATATCAATGATATGTTGCAAGCGGGTAACATTCATTGCTATGTAGACGACAACACTGGTAATGCTTTATACACCGGTCGTGCCAATATTTCTCGGGAAAACGTCGCCAAGTACCGGGACAAACTTGTGTCTGAAGTCGAGTCTTTCCCGAATAAAATCTCGGATTGGGGGCGACTAATTCTAGTCTAGTCAATCCCCAGAAGACACAAGTTTGCGCGTTTACCGCTAATCAGAACCCCTTTGTTATATCTGCTCAGTTTCAAGGCACACCCCTTGCTGTCTCAGCTAGCATCACACTTAACAACTATCCTTACAGGCTAAACAAACCCAATACGATAGTGTCACTAATTTACTTAAATATACTATGTATTAGAACTAACTTACATAACTAACTATGTATAAAAGTACCTTAGCGAGTTCACTCAGATTACTCGAAAATATGTCAATCCTCTCATGAACTTTATTCACTACTAGGATTGATCGGACTATAGGTGAGTTATTAAGCAAATTGGTCCTAGCCACGGGCACCGCGAGCAGCGGCGGGCGGCGTCGCCTCCACAAGTACCGGTCCGGTGTGCACAGCTGCAGGTGGCGCAACAACCCCGGGTTGCATGGGGCGCCACGAAGCAACTTCACTACTTGTGTAGCCAGGGCAAACTCCCGTCTTACTCTGAGCTGGTTGTACCCGACCATCCCGAGCACGAACAATGTGGGGTACCTCAAAGGGTAAAACGGATATACCCCATACAGTTTGACATATCGTATAGTGTGCAGTTTCGTGGTCACTTGAAAGGGATGGTCAAATTGGCCTCTAAAAAGCTTGGCGTGCTCAGCAGAGCGAGACAGTATTTCATGCCGGCACATCGCTTGCAACTTTACAAAGCGCAAGTCCGGCCTCACACGGAATACTGTTCTCATCTCTGGGCCGGGGCACCCCAGTACCACGCCTTCCACTTGACAGCATCCAGCGCAGAGCGGTTCGAATCGTCGACGTCCGAGTTTTTTCTGATCGGCTCAATTCACTGGCGCTGCGTAGGGATGTTGCGTCCCTTTGCATTGTCTATCGAATCTGCCACGGAGAGTGCTCTGAGGAATTATTCGGATTAATTCCAGCTGCCAAATTTCACGAACGCACATCGCGTCAAAATTCACGATACCATCCTCACCATCTGGACGCTTGGCAGTCCACGACTGTAAGTTTTATTAGGAGTTTTCTTCCTCGTACAACTGCTCTGTGGAATCGTTTACCACAATTTGTTTTCTAAAAGGCCGGCAGCGCATCTGCAATTCGCCTGGTGTTGCGTTTGTTCATAGGTGGCGGTAGTCACTTACCATCAGGTGAGCTACATGCTCGTTTACCCTCTCTTCTATAATTACACTGGCACTGCTTAGGGATGTTGCATCCCTTTGCATTTTCTATCGAATTTACCACGGGGAGTGCTCTGATGAATTGTTCGGATTAATTCCAGCCGCCAAATTTCACGAACGCACATCGCGTCAAAATTTACGATACCATCCTCACCATCTGGATGCTTGGCGGTCCACGACTGTAGGTTTTACTAGGAGTTTTCTTCCTCGTACAACTTCTCTGTGAAATTGTTTACCACCGGCGATCTTTACGATACGACTTAGGGACCTTCAAGAAAAGAGCTTACACCTTCCTAAAAGGCCGGCAACGCATCTGCAATTCCCCTTAAATTAAGGTTTAAATGTTAAGATAGTCCATTACTTTTGTGAACATAAATTGTCACAGTAGTTGAGTTAGCTTGTAAGTTAGAAACTAAAAGTAATGTAGGAAAAATTGTTCGTCTAAGCTGCCGCAAACGTAAGTAGTGCAATAATAATAAACAAGCGTGAATAATACTGTGTTTAAAAAAAAACCCGACTGCGTAAAAAATTACTTACATAAGAAATTTATAACAGGTTCATTATAAGTTTTATTTAGTGAAGAATAGTCGCTAACCAACTTTAAATCGTTACAGATCCTAAATGGTCATTCAAAATAAAAAATAAATAAAGAAACCTAAATCTGATTTTCAAAGACTTGACATAGTTCGTCGACACTTTAATTTTTTATTTTAAGCAATATGGCGTCTACTTGTCGCCATATTGAGTTTGACACTTGTAAGATTAAGAAAAATCGTTTCACGTAAGAATTATCAATATCGGCTCACGCGTTTCGTCTCTAGAGTGCCAGAAAGGAACACACATACATTGATACATACATAATCACACAAAATTTCATCAAAACTGGTCCAGCCGTTTGTTTAGGAGTTCAGTCACATATACAAGGACAGAAAAATTATATAATAATATAATATGCATGTATTATACATATAAACCTTTCTCTAAAAATGTTTCAAAATCCGCTGCATAGTTTAAAAGATCTAAGAGTACAGACGGCGAGAGGCGATTTTATTTTATTACTATGTAGAGAAGAGGTAGAGAAGAGAAATAGTTTTGTGGTAGAAGTTACACATCAGTACGTTTTCATTTATTCATTACAACCCTTCAAAAGTCCACTGTTGGAAAAGGTCGCCACCATAGACAGCCTCATAGGCTAGGTTTAATTATATTAGAGGGGGCAAACTAGTATGCGGCTCACTAGTGGTAAGTGACTACCGCTGCTCACGAACAATTGCAACACCAGGGAAATTGCAGATGCGTTGACGGTCTTTTAAAAAAGAGTAGGCTCTTTTCTCGAAGGAATTAAGATTTGACCATGGTTGGCACGCTTGGTCAGCGGGTTGACAGCCGCAGATTTTTATATGCAAAATGACAAATATGACGTGGCCAACCATCACCGGTCTGGATATTTTTTGTTTGGCGTAAACAAGATGGTCATACCACCATCTATAACTATTGGAGAAGTTAAACAAGCTTTCGACAATTAGTTCAGTTTGAGCAAGATTGGCCCCGGTTTTGCTCGAATGGCGATTAAGGCATCATAATCACTGACGCCTCCGGCCGGAGGTTATCTGCTGCTATGCTCACATCTTCTTCAAAATCGTGGTGGTAAGCAGCAAATATGTTTGAATGTACACAATACAACCAAATATTCTGTATATTAGTACAAGATCTTCAGAATAACCAAATACGTATATTTTAATATTTTCACGTATATTGGAACGAAGTTCTTTATCGCACGGCACGAATTTGACGGATGGAGGCTAGGCGAGAAAAAGTGTAAGATTTTTCCTATTAAAGAATGATCTTGCTATTAAAGAACTATTATATTAAATGACGCTTCATTTTAATAGATGCTAGTAATTCATTTTAACGTTTATCAATAATAATATACTACGAGAGGAACTTCGTTCCAACCGAGTTCCACGACACTCACGCATGTTTTTTTAAATATTTATAAACGCGTGGAATACTCCCCGAGTGCGCCGCCGACCGAACTGATGACCGACATCCGAATGCCAGATGACGCTAGTGTAGTGTCCACAGACAATCCGAAGCAAATTACGATACCCGAACAACTTATATGAAGTCAAAGATTTTTTTTGAAATTCCCATAGACGCCTCTTACGAACTTCACGAGACAACACGGGGTAATTCTCTTACACCGTCATCACATGGCAAAAGTTGGCTGTTCAGGCTTAAAATACCAACTCACATCCGTCTCCAAGTGCAAGTGCCGACAGCATGAGGAAAGGCGCCGTTTTCCCGACGAACTCATACATTAAACCGCCGAAAGGTGGCCCAATCAGAACACCTAGCGCCAGACCTCCTAGTGCTATACCCATTGCGTTGCCACGTTCCTGGAAAAAGTAGAAAGTAAATCATAAATAAGTGGTAAAATTTCAAATTTTGTACAACCAATTGAAGTCGGTAAATAAAATGAGAACATCATCAATGTTGTCGAAGTCAATTATCTACGCATTATTAAAAATAACTCAAAAACTACTGGTCAGATCTTGATCAAATTTGTATGGGACCACATGAACAGGGGAAAAAAGAATCATCAAAGTAGGATCACCTAGAAAAAGTTCAAATTGAGAACCTTTTTTTGAAGTCGGTTGATAATAAAAGCTAAGATCCGCGTAATAAAATAAATTAATGTGTCTTACTTAGTTTGAAGAGCACCTCCCGCCCTCGCTCAATTGCGTGCACTATCCCCGTCACCACTAATCCAATACATAATATATAAAAAATACTTTCGCCCCATCTCACCTTATCGTCCGGGTATCTCTCCGCCAGCATGCCCATTCCGGAGACCGAAGAACAGGACGAGCCGATCCCTTGTAGAGCTCGAGCAACAAACAGGACTCCGTAGGAGCGACCAAATGCAAAGACTGGAAAGAAGGATACCTATGTGTTTGTGCGTTTATGTACAGTTTCTCACTTTTTGAGCTGACAATAATGATAGCCTGTATCTAAGGCCGATATTGAGAAACAATGTAGAGCTTAAACCCAAACTTCAAAATAACTTAAATTTTAAAATTTTAAAAATTCCCGACACAAAATGAATCTTCAAACGGAATCCTCAAACGGCTCATAAGATTTTCTTGAATCATAGCTAAGAACACTCTCGATCAAGTCACCTTTCGAACGTAAAACACTAAATCTAAATCAAATCATCCAATTTGGAAGCTACGATGCTATAGACACACATATACACACATACACAGATACACACGTTAAATACACACACACATAGATACTCAGATACACAGATACTCTTTTTCGTAGGGGATTAGTAACAAAATTAGTGTATTATACCCACACTAAAGTGAAGTTTAAGACATAGTTGGATAAAACATCTTATTTTAGATAAGATGCGTTCAATGGTATACGTGGAAACTTATTGCGGTGGTTCTCTTCGTACATTATTAATAAGACCCAAAAAGTTGTGGTTAACGGATTCTCCTCTAGCGAAAAATTTGTATCCTCAGGTGTACCACAGGGATCTATACTAGGTCCGATGCTCTTCACATTGTATATAAATGATATTCAGTATTGTTTTATAAATAGTAATTTTTTGTTATATGCAGATGACCTGAAAGTTTATCGAAGTGTAAAGTCCCTTAATGATTGTGAGAAGCTACAGGAAGATCTTGACCGGTTATCTAACTACTGTCTAATCAATAAATTGCAATTAAGCATCCCTAAATGTAAATCTATTTCTTTCACCAAAAACGTAAAAACCTACAATTACATATATTCCCTACTTAACAGTCCCTTAGAAAAAGTATCATTAATAAAAGATTTAGGCATCCTTTATGATTCAAATCTAACCTTTAATGCTCATATCAGCCATGTAACAAATAAACGGTATCAAATGCACGGAATTGTTGCACGAACGTGTAATTTTTTTACAAGCTCCTCATCTTATTTACTACTTTTCAAATCACTTATCAGACCACAAATTGAATATGCAACGCAAGTATGGAATCCCTATTATAATAAATACGGTGAACTTCTAGAATCATTACAAGCAAAATTTCTTCGTTTTATAAATTACAAATGTTACCACGCTAAATCATCGTATCGCAACTTATTAAAAAAGTTTTCAATTCATACTTTAAAAGCAAGAAGAATATACTTTGATGTAATACTATTATTCAAAATAATTCGAAATGATTCAGATTGTAGTGAATTACTTAACAAAATATATATCCGTGTCCCTAGTCGTTCTCAACGCATTAGAGACGTGTATACACATAAATTGTTTGCACCTAAACTATGTAAAACCAATGCAGGTGAACGCGCCCCATTAAGACGTATTATGAAAGTATATAACATGCATTTTTCAAATATTGACCTATTCACCTCATCACAGTTACAATTTCGCAAGAACGTTCTAAGAAAGTTGGTAGACATTCAATAGTATCTTAAAATATTTTACAAGATAAATTTGTACTGTTAGCAATTTTTTTCCCTTTTGTCTCATTTTGATTTTTATGTTACTGAATACTGTCAATTTTATTTTATTTTCCCTTTTTTACTTATACTCTGTTTATTGTGCATTTATTATTTACTGTTACCAATTTAATATTACTTTGTGGATAACGGTGCTGGTTACATAATGACTAATGTTATTTATAAAATGTTATTTGGTTTAAGCATTATCATGTAATTGTTTGTTGTCCTGAATAAATTAAAAAAAAAATAAGATATTGACGAAAAATGATTCCTCTTGAAATAGAATAAGATCGCAAAAAATGTGAGCAAACCTGAAATACTAAATTATTGAAGTGGTTGAGCCACTAAATTATGGTTGTAGCAAGAATGGGTTGGCTCGACTGGGGTTTCTCGACTGACCACGCTCTCACAGAATACCAACGTAAAATAGCAGCTTAATGCTGATCTGTTTCGTATCGTGAATATAGGGAACCAGAGACCTTTTTTTACTGGAAATGAGGCATTCCATCTTAGTCCCAGGGGTGACAACGCATCTGCATTTTGATTCTTAATCGATTATCAATATAGATGTATATGGGCCACAGAATCCACTTACCATCAGGTGGACTGTGTGCGCGTTTGTCTTGTTACACTTATTCTATATAAAAAACTTAAAAATAAAATTATTGCATATATTTTTACCAAAATAAAGCTCTACTTACTCAGCGTCGATAAGAACATCAGAATGAAACCAGTGAACATAGGTATGCTATAACCGATCCTGAAAAATGTAAAAAACAAACGTTAAAACGGCTAATCGTTTTTATGTATCGTTAGTAAAATTAATAGATGGTCCTCCGAGCCGAATATAACAATTGATACGTACCATTTTCAGTCTAGGTATTTGAAATTTGGTTTATACGAGGTCTATGAGCTAGCCAACTATTAGCTTTTTCACAATTTTCCATCTAAACTCATATTCTTTTTATAAAAAAAAACTACTCTTTTACCAACTTCTGCCTCCAAATAATAAAAAAAAACAATAAGTGCTTACACAGCTGTGTTCTTGAAGTGTATAGAGGACCAGTATAATTAGAGGATGTTGTGAATTTCATCTTAGTTATCAGAAGAGACAGCGCGTCCATGGGCTGTAATGGCCACTTGACACCAACTTGTTTGCAGAACGAAGTTCCTTATCGTACGGTACGAATTTGACGGATGGGGGCTAGGCGAGAAAAAGTGTAAGATTTTTCCTACACGACCCCCTTTCTGTAGTGCGAGTTAGATGGAATAATATCCATCTCCCTCGCACTTTTCTCATCTTGTCATGAAAAAATATTATTTTAAATGACGCTTCATTTAATAGACGCTAGTAATTCATTTATTTGTATATGTTAATCAATAATATATTACGTTTATTAATAATAATATACCACGAAAGGACCTTCGTTCCGACCGAGTAATCCACGACACTCACGCATTAAAAAAAAACTTTTATAAAAATGATCTACGCAATTAAAAACTCCTGTCCGGTTTCGGGTGCTATGTCCATAGGTGAAACTGGTTAGAAGACAGCCAAATCACTATTAGAACCTTGTTTACTCACCTGTGCGTTAATGGACCTACAAATGGATTAGCTATGAGCTGGACGATCGCCTTGCTGGCGAACATAACTCCAACAGCGACGGTCTCATGGATGAGATCCTTGTGGCGTTCCTCCTTCTCCGCCGTTAGGTTCACTGCAATAACACTGCCACGTTTCAATTAAATGTAGAAAGCCATTGAATTGTTTTCTTTTTTTTTGTTTTCAATGTGAAATATAAATCATTGCCATCCTTTTAAACTAAAAGTATACTCATGGTACAAACAAAGTTAAGACTAAAATAACGCAATTTTAAAGTTTTTTAAACTCTTAAACAATCATGTTAGTCATTTTCAATACACTGTTAAAACAATTAACACAATTGGAAAAATTGAAAATTCTGTACAACCGACTTCAATATAAAATTATTAAGGATAAATCAAAAACTACTGGTCACACCATGATCAACCACATGAAAAGCACCAGCTATCAAATAAAACAAAATCATCCAAATCGGTTCATCTAGAAAAAAGTTATGAACTAACATATGTACATTAAAAAAAAAAACAAAAAAAACCAATCAAATTGAATACCTCCATCAGCACTTAAACTTGCAATTAATATTACTTACATTTTAAATTAATTCGATTAGAAATGGATAATCCTAACTACGGATATTCCTACAGTAGAACAAGTGGGACGCGGGAAGTAAAGACTGTGTAGGAACATCCGAAGGAGGTGGAGTTTAGCCGAAATAAGATTTTTTTTGTTTTTGGCCATTTTTACCCCCTAGGAGTGTAATGAGAATTTTTTGCCCCCTATTCAACCATGAACCCCATGATACCTCTACATGATAGTCTATTCAAACTGACTAGGCCTAAAGTTCGAGCCACCCCCTAATGTTTTGGTTTTTGGCCACTTTGACACCCTAGGAGTGTAATGAGAACTTTTGCCCCCTATTCAACTATGACTCTCATGACATCCTCTACATGATAGGCTATTTAAACTGACTAGGCCTAAAGTTCGAGCCACCCCTACAATTTTTTGGTGTTTGCCCATTTTGACCCCCTAGAAGTGTAATGAGAACATTTTGCCTCTATTCAACCATGACCCCCATGACATCCTTTACTTGATAGGCTATTCAAACTGACTAAGCTTAAAGTTCAAGTCACCCCCCAACTCATTTCTATAGTCTTTACTTCTTTACAGCTCTGAGGCATTGTATTGTAAATAAGTCAAGTTATCTTATGAGATACTTACTGTGTGTTACATTTTCGTAGACTACCGTGGTGTTCTTCTCGAGACAGGGACAGTAGGGGGTAGGCGGGGGTGGCGGGGTGGTTATCTCGTCCAGGGACATCGAGAGCGGTGCATCCGGGTGGCGTATGTCATAGAGGAACTCCGGGATGATTGGCACTGTGGAATAAAATATTTATTAGTGCTTTGGAAATAAATTTAACCGATTTCTATTACATTTTAATAATCTGTACTAGAGGTCCCTAGTGGTCGCCTTTTTGCCACCAGGGCGGCGCCACTAGTAAATGAGGTATAATATTTGACAGATTTCATAGCGGGGAAGTTAATTTGGTCTGAAAATGTAAAAGTTATTGTTTATTTCCTTACTATTAGCTATATTTTAAATTAATAACATAATATCTCTAATCAAAACAATCAATAATCGGTCCAGCCGCTTAGGGCGAGTTCAGTCACATACACGGACAGAAGAATTATACAAATACAAAATTTGTTGCGTAGTTTAAAAAATCTAAGCGTACTGACGGCGGGAAGCGAATTTGTTTTTAATATACATAACATAAAATACACATACACATAAACACTCACGCCTGTCGCCCAGAGGGGTAGGCAGAGTGTCCTCCTTTATAAACCTTCGTCTAGGGCGTTCCTTCCCGACTCTGCCGTTCACTTTTGCAACATAAATTTGCTTTGTCACTCTTCCCTCGTTAATTCTTTCAGATAAACAGACCAGACCAAACCACCGAAGCATTCCTTTCTTAATCCTGCTCACAACGTCATCTTGTAAACCACACTTTTCTCTTACCATACTATTTCTCACCCTGTTGTCCGGATTCAGCCCTACGATACTCCTTAATGACCGCATTTTCACAGCATTTTTTTTACTCTCGTGCTTCTTCTGCCAGACCCAACTTTTACTACCATACATTAAAGTAGGGACTAACACAGCATTATGAATTGCCATACGTGCCTTATTTGACACATTCTGACTCTAGTGTAGAGCCCCATTCACTCTATTTCCTGCGTTCACTCGTCTTTCTATATCCTTATCATATCTACCATCCCTGCTAAATAAACATCCCAAATATACAAACCCATCCACTTGCTCAATCAACTCTCCTTCTATTCTTATTTCACATAACGTTTTACTTTCTTCTATTTCAAAGACCATCACTTTCGTCTTACTTGCGTTCACTTTCATACCCCTTTCTTTTAATGTCCAGTTCATTAAAGTAATCATCATTTGCAACTCAGCAGCCGATGATGCAAAAATGGCTTGATCATCGGCGTACAAAAAGGCATTTGACGGTTAACTCACCCATTCCTTACCGACATTCTTCAACTTTCAAAGTTTGCAAACAACTGTCCATAAATAGGTTAAACAGCAACGGGGAAGCTACACAGCCCTGTCTGACACCTTTTTGAATGCCAAACCAGTCCGAGTAGACCCCGTTGATCCTAACACAAGCACTAGAGTCCCTATAAAGAGATCTTAATGCCTGTATCAAACCAACGCTCAACCCAAATGAGTTCAGTGTTTGCCATAACATGTTCCTGTCCACTCTGTCATAAGCCCTTTCCAAGTCCACGAACGCACAAAAAACTTTCTGGGTTTTGGCCAAAAACTTCGCCGCAATCTTTACTTTACAAAATGGAAAAGACTTGATCCGTATAAAATAATAATAATATAATACATTTGTAACACATCTTCCCTATATATAAAAATTAAATTGCTGAAATTGCTGTCCGTTAGTCTTGCTAAAACTCGAAAATGGCTTGACCGATTTTGATTAAATTTTCTGTGTGTGGGTTCCTGGATGATCAAACGATTCACAATTAGACGCAGTAAGTGGCGCATCTAGTTATAAATAAATTTTTGTTTTCTGCACTCCTTTTCCATATAAATTTTGCCATGTGAAATCTCACACTCCTCCGTGAGCGCAATATTCTTAAAAATGCTTACAATGTTTTGTTTTATATAATATATTATTTTAATATATTACTATATATATATATATATATATATATATATATATATATATATATATATATGTACTGTTAACGTTACAGCTCATTAAAGTCCACTGCTGAACTTAGGCCTTCCCATAGTAAGCCTCATAGGGGAATATTTGCCACAGTTGACAACCGCAGTTTTTATTTTTATTTATAGTCGTTATTAGGAAGACGCCGCTGCTCATCTCCCTATTTGTTTCCCTCTGTCGCCTCTTACTGTGACGACACCCACGAGATGGTATGGGGTACTAGATTTTTTTTCAAAAAAAAGATTTTACTACCACACTGGGATTTTCTCTTGTATCATGAAGGGAGTTTACAAATATAAATTGCGCAAGGGCAAACATCTTCCTTACACCACCGCTACACGGTTTTAATATATATAAAAATGTACGTTTATTAAAAAACTTAAATCTCCGAAATTTCTTCACCGATTGCTTCGAAATTTGAACACAACGTTCCATTCTAATATGCGCGTGTTACTTTTTAAAAATTTTATTGAGCCACAGCAACGCGTGGTCGCTTATAATTCCTCCACAGTTAAAATTATATGGGACTAGCTGGTGCCTTGGTGACTTATATTGTCTAATTAGGAATGATAATACATTTATTGAAGTCGAGTGTCATATTACTTTCAAATTTTGTTGGTACGATACGCGCGCCACTTACTGTAAGTTAATTATTGTACTATGCCTTTAATCTTAGTGGAAATACAAGCAATAAGTTTACAAAGTTTTACCGCAATCTGATGAACCGTATGGCAGCGCATAAAATACGAAAAAACAAAAAATATTTTTTATATATTAGATAACCCCAAAGTATAACCTATTTAACAAAAATTATCATTAAAATCAGTTAACAGTTCACAAAGATAGCGCGTATCAAATATACAAAAAAAAAAAAAACACTGTCAGTCGTAGAACTGCACGTCAAAAGTGAAAACCTCTTAGTTTCACAAACTTGTAAACATTATTTTTGGGTTGTTAAGAAATATTTTTTAAGAAGTATTTTTTATTAGAAATTATTTTTATTAACGTATTAATATATTTTACATGAAAAAGAATGATTATTGTCTGTATAATACAAACTAATTTTTAAATACACATCGATTTTATAAAATTTAATCAATTTTTTTTATAGGATAAGGTTGACAAACGAGCACATAGTCCACCTGATGGTAAGTGGTTGCTGTGGCCCATAGACATCTACATTTATTCTCGATTACGGATCAAAATGCAGATGCGTTGTCACCCGTGAGGACTAAGATGGAATGCCTCGTTTCTAGTAAAAAGGGTCTCCGGTTCTCTACACTCACCATATGAAACACAGCAGCATTAAGCTGCTATTTTACGCTGGTATTCTGTGAGAGCGTGGTACTTCCCCGGTCGAGCCGACCCATTCGTGTTACAACTATACCAGAAATATAGCTTCAGCATGGCTCTACCACGTATAAGATTGAATTTTCATCAATTTTAAGCATCTGAGCGTGACGGCCATGCGAGATCAGTGCTTTTTTCCATCCCAAAAGAAAACAATGAAGATGCGGTCGGATTGAAACGTTCTCTATTTTTTAAATTATAATTTTTTAATTAATTTGGTAGGATATCATATATAACCAAAAAAAAAACCGGCAAAGTGAGAGTCGGACTCGCGCACCGAGGGTTCCGAACAAATCTGTAGGTATATAAGTTTAAATTATTATTATTATTATACATCATATAATAAAAAAATATTTTTATTATATGATGTAACTAAAAATGTATGCTTTTCGCAATTTTTCTTTATCTGTGCTATAAGACGTTGCTTCGTACCAAATTTCAAGATTCTGAGTTCACGGGAAGTACCCTGTAGGTTTTGATTCCCTTGCGAATGTCGAAAATTTACGGGATAAACGGCTGTATCTTTTGATTGCCTTAGCTTAGAAGTTTGATTTTTTCACAGTTCTAAGGGACAGTAGACTTGAGTATTTGATATCAATTTCAGCTTGATACCTCCACGCGTTCCTGAGAAAAAGGGTCTTGACAGACAGACAGACAGAGACAGACGGACAACAAAGTGATCCTATAAGGGTTCCGTTTTTTCCTTTTGAGGTACGGAACCCTAAAAAAGGAGACAAAGTTGGGTTCAAACGAAAGAGTTGGGATCTGAACGGGTGCCAAGCTCCATATCAAGCAGTTCTCTTAATTGTAGCTATAGAAATGTACAATACGGAAAGCATGGATGTACAATCACAAAAATATGTATGGAAAGAACTATGCTCGGAGTTTTTCTGGTAGATAAATTTTGAAATAAAAAAATCCGCCGGAGAACGAATATTACTGACATAGCCTTGTGTGTTTGTAAACTGAAGTAGCAATGGGCTGGCCACGTATATCGCAGAAATGACAACCGGTGGGAGTAGACGTGCTGTGGAGTGGAGACAGCGTCTAGGTAAACGTAGTGTGGGACACTCCCTGATCAGATGGAGCTGCTAGAAACTGGATGCGTGTAGTTGACGATCGGGGTAAGTGGTGCGCCTTTATTTTGAATAAGGCTGACAAACGAACGCACAGTCCACCTGACGGTAAGTGGTTGCTGTGGCCCATAGACATCTACATCTATCTTCGTTTGCAAATTAAAATGCAGATGCGTTGTCAGCCGTGAGGACTAAAATAAAATGCGTCTTTTCTCTCCTTACTTTGGTTACTCCTACTTTGGGTCTCCGGTTCTCTACACTCACCATATGAAACACAGCAGTATTAAGTATTAGTATTCTGTGAGAGCGTGGTCCTTCCCCGGTCGAGCCGACCCAAGCTACAACTATACAGCTAATATAGAGCCATGCTGCAGGCTCTACTACGTAATAAACGGGCCTTGGGTGAGGCCTATGTCCAGCAGAGGACTGTTGAAGGCTAATGATGATGATGATGATAGGAATGAGCGTCGATCTTCAATCGATTTAAAAGAACTGCTACGGACACAGTCTTCTTTATCTTATAAAGCTGTTATATAGCTGTATTTTATAGGTGTCCTTTATAAAATGCCCCTCTAAGTGCGTTAGGTTAGCGCGCGAGCATAAACTTAATACATTTACAATTGAGGTCACCTTTAAAGTTAATTACCAGCTACGAGGGCAGATGACATCGCAAGGTCACTGGGGTGTCACCGTA